ATCCCTCCTCCTCCTCCTCCTCCTCCTCCTCCCTCCTCCTCCTCCTCCTCCTCCTCCTCGAGGGTCCTCGATCATCGTCCTCCTCGTCGTCGGCATCGTCGTCGTCGTCGGCCTCCTCCTCCTCCTCCGTTCTCCCCCGCCGCTTCCCTCTTCCTCCCTCATCCCTCATCCCTCCCCCCTCCTCCACCTCCACTTCTTCCATCTTCCCTCCTCCCTCCTCCTCCTCCGCGGGGCACTCCTTGTCGATCAGCGGCGCGAGCCAGCCGGGCTTGTTCCCGCGCGTCCTCGGAGCGGGGAGGGGGCGGCGTCGAGGATGGACGCAGGCAGCGGAAGAGGATCGGACGGAGGACGGATGAGCAGCACGAGTAGGCGGGAGGATGATGATGAGGAGGAGGGTGCGGGGGGACGAGGAGGAGGGATGAGGAGGAGCAAAGAGGGATGAGGAGGAGGCGGAGGAGGAGAAGGACAGGGAGTGGGATGGGGGAGGAGGCTCGAGTAGGAGGATGAGGATCGAGGAGGCGAGGAGGAGGAGGAGGAGGAGGAGGAGGATCGAGGCGAGGAGGAGGAGGAGGAGAAGGAGGAGGAGGCCCCAACGGTCCTGAACCTGAGCACCGCCTGATCCGCGTGCCGAAGCATGGCTCGGATCTGCCTGGCGACCAGCGAGCACCACGCATCCATCTCGCCCGACAGCCGCCACGAGTCCTCGTGGAACTCCGCCAGGGTCTGGAGCTGCTGCTTCAGCGGTGCCGACGGGGGTGGATGGGGAGGATCGGAGGTTGATCGAGGAAAGGAGCGGGCGAGGATGTTAACAAGGATCTAACGAGGACGGAGTAACACCCATGGCCTGGCTGAGATTGGTCGCAGGCTTGATCGCCGCGCGCAGCGCGATGATGAGCTCCATGTGCCCGGCCAGCGCGTCGGGGTCGACGGGGTCGTCCAGCCTGTCCGTGTAGCCGAGGTCCGCGCCGTCCTTGATGAAGTCGGTGAGCGCATCCAGCACGCCGCTGGCGTGGCCGTCGCCGCGTGGGCGAGCCCCCCCCATGATGGTCGGGGTGGGGGGGGGGGCTGAGAGGGACAGAGCCTAAATGGCTATAGACGAGGGGGGGATATCCGAAGGGGAACGATCGTGTTGTCCGTCCCCCTGTGCGCCCTCTCCTCCTATCCAATCCTGCCGTTCTAATCGCTCGCCATTCGCCGAATGGGCAGGGGCAGGACACTACAACGTCGGCGAGTACATGATTGCTTTGCTTGCGTGCTTGCTGTGCTTGCTTGCTTGATTGCTTGCACACTTATTTTCAAAGCAGAGCAGGAAGAGGAGGGAGGATGGAGGGAGGAGGAGGGATGATGATGAGGAGGAGGAGGGAGGAACGATCTCTCAAGCGCTCTCTGTCCAGGGCTTACGGGTTCTAGTACTATAGGGGTGGGGGGGGGCAAATTCCTAGAGTTTCTTGGCGCTCCCGCGCGCTCCTGGGCTCGGTCGCATGGATCATCAAGATATTGTTGACACCCCTCACAAGGATCGTGGCCACCGAGAGGATCCCGAACGCGAGTGCTTCCCTTCCTGGCCCAAGACAGCCCCGACAGCCTCTAAAGAAACCGCAGTGGAGTCAAACACATGCCCCAAAGACGGCCCAAAATGTCCCAAAGAGGTTCCCAAGAGGCTCCAAAGTTGCCATACTAGGCACTGCAGCTGCCCCCACGAGGTCCCGAGAGGCGGCACCACTGTTCCTCATAGGCACCAAAGAGGTTAACCACGATATCCTAACCAACATCAATGATGCATCTAACCCACGACCCAAACACGGAGGCAGGCTGGGTCGAATGTAATTATATATGTCTTATACTACTAAAAATAAGAATCCTGGCTACATAGCATGTCGGTTCTTATTTTAAGAAGCTTGGAACCTCTGGGTCCTCCTCCTCCTCCTCCCTCCTCCTCTGGGCACCTCCCCCGGGGCGCGGATCCACCGGATCTGTCCGGATCTGTCCGGAAACGGTGCCGGAGGCCGCTCTGGGCTCCTCTGGGCACCTCCCCCGGGGCCGGTTTTGTGAGGATGTCTCAAGCGAGGGCGCCGGTTTGGGATTCGTCACCGGATCCAGCGGATCCACCGGATCTGTCCGGAAACGGTGCCGGAGGCCGCTCTGGGCTCCTCTGGGCACCTCCCCCGGGGCCGGTTTTGTGAGGATGTCTCAAGCGAGGGCGCCGGTTTGGGATTCGTCACCGGATCCAGCGGATCCAGCGGATCCACCGGATCTGTCCGGAAACGGTGCCGGAGGCCGCTCTGGGCTCCTCTGGGCACCTCCCCCGGGGCCGGTTTTGTGAGGATGTCTCAAGCGAGGGCGCCGGTTTGGGATTCGTCACCGGATCCAGCGGATCCAGCGGATCTGTCCGGAAACGGTGCCGGAGGCCGCTCTGGGCTCCTCTGGGCACCTCCCCCGGGGCCGGTTTTGTGAGGATGTCTCAAGCGAGGGCGCCGGTTTGGGATTCGTCACCGGATCCACCGGATCTGTCCGGAAACGGTGCCGGAGGCCGCTCTGGGCTCCTCTGGGCACCTCCCCCGGGGCCGGTTTTGTGAGGATGTCTCAAGCGAGGGCGCCGGTTTGGGATTCGTCACCGGATCCACCGGATCTGTCCGGAAACGGTGCCGGAGGCCGCTCTGGGCTCCTCTGGGCACCTCCCCCGGGGCCGGTTTTGTGAGGATGTCTCAAGCGAGGGCGCCGGTTTGGGATTCGTCACCGGATCCAGCGGATCCAGCGGATCTGTCCGGAAACGGTGCCGGAGGCCGCTCTGGGCTCCTCTGGGCACCTCCCCCGGGGCCGGTTTTGTGAGGATGTCTCAAGCGAGGGCGCCGGTTTGGGATTCGTCACCGGATCCAGCGGATCCAGCGGATCTGTCCGGAAACGGTGCCGGAGGCCGCTCTGGGCTCCTCTGGGCACCTCCCCCGGGGCCGGTTTTGTGAGGATGTCTCAAGCGAGGGCGCCGGTTTGGGATTCGTCACCGGATCCACCTCTGTCCGGAAACGGTGCCGGAGGCCGCTCTGGGCTCCTCTGGGCACCTCCCCCGGGGCCGGTTTTGTGAGGATGTCTCAAGCGAGGGCGCCGGTTTGGGATTCGTCACCGGATCCACGGATCTCTGTCCGGAAACGGTGCCGGAGGCCGCTCTGGGCTCCTCTGGGCACCTCCCCCGGGGCCGGTTTTGTGAGGATGTCTCAAGCGAGGGCGCCGGTTTGGGATTCGTCACCGGATCCAGCGGATCGGATCTGTCCGGAAACGGTGCCGGAGGCCGCTCTGGGCTCCTCTGGGCACCTCCCCCGGGGCCGGTTTTGTGAGGATGTCTCAAGCGAGGGCGCCGGTTTGGGATTCGTCACCGGATCCAGCGGATCCACGGATCGGATCTGTCCGGAAACGGTGCCGGAGGCCGCTCTGGGCTCCTCTGGGCACCTCCCCCGGGGCCGGTTTTGTGAGGATGTCTCAAGCGAGGGCGCCGGTTTGGGATTCGTCACCGGATCCACCGGATCTGTCCGGAAACGGTGCCGGAGGCCGCTCTGGGCTCCTCTGGGCACCTCCCCCGGGGCCGGTTTTGTGAGGATGTCTCAAGCGAGGGCGCCGGTTTGGGATTCGTCACCGGATCCAGCCGGATCTGTCCGGAAACGGTGCCGGAGGCCGCTCTGGGCTCCTCTGGGCACCTCCCCCGGGGCCGGTTTTGTGAGGATGTCTCAAGCGAGGGCGCCGGTTTGGGATTCGTCACCGGATCCACCGGATCTGTCCGGAAACGGTGCCGGAGGCCGCTCTGGGCTCCTCTGGGCACCTCCCCCGGGGCCGGTTCTTGGGCACCTGGGGCCGGTTTTGTGAGGATGTCTCAAGCGAGGGCGCCGGTTTGGGATTCGTCACCGGATCCAGCGGATCTGTCCGGAAACGGTGCCGGAGGCCGCTCTGGGCTCCTCTGGGCACCTCCCCCGGGGCCGGTTTTGTGAGGATGTCTCAAGCGAGGGCGCCGGTTTGGGATTCGTCACCGGATCCAGATCCAGCGGATCCACCGGATCTGTCCGGAAACGGTGCCGGAGGCCGCTCTGGGCTCCTCTGGGCACCTCCCCCGGGGCCGGTTTTGTGAGGATGTCTCAAGCGAGGGCGCCGGTTTGGGATTCGTCACCGGATCCACCGGATCTGTCCGGAAACGGTGCCGGAGGCCGCTCTGGGCTCCTCTGGGCACCTCCCCCGGGGCCGGTTTTGTGAGGATGTCTCAAGCGAGGGCGCCGGTTTGGGATTCGTCACCGGATCCACCGGATCTGTCCGGAAACGGTGCCGGAGGCCGCTCTGGGCTCGTGCTCTTCGCGCCGGGGGTGAGGATGACGTGAGTTCCACAGAAACTCCCTCAAATCATTGTTCTTCTCGTGCTCTTTCTCCTCTTCATCCTTCTTGTCCTTGCGCCTGTGTACCTCCTCGTAATCCTCCTGGTCCTCCTCGATGTCCCCTCGCCCTCTACGCCTTCCTTCTCCTCCTCCTCCTCGTCCTCCTCCTCCTCCTCCTCCTCCTCCTCCTCGTCCTCCTATCCCTGCGTTTCTTCTCCGTATTGCGAGCCGAGTGGACAAACGCGGCGCTTCCCCGCTCTTGTCTTGCAAGATTTCCCGAGGCCCCAGAACGCGGCTCGGAATCTAAACGTCCAACATGCCCAAATTGTCCCAACGGACCGGCCGGGGGCTCTCTCAGGGGTCGCCCCAGCACGCAAAAGGGCCCACGAGATCGCCCCAAGAGGGGCCCCAAAAGCACGTTAGAAAACCCCATGGGGGCCTAAGGCGGTCCCAAGACAGTGACGCGACTGCCAAGAGTTGCCACAGACAGCGTCCAGAAGACCCCAAATGGCCCCAACACGGCTCAAGAGGATGTTAGGAGGCCTCGAGAGGCTCCCAAGAGACACCCAAGTAGCCTCGAAGCGGTCCCCAGAAGCCTTTAAGAAACCTTGGATTTGCGGCCGAACCACGGTTGCGGGATGGGCCGAACGCCACTGCATGTTAATATCGCCGAACATCCCAGTTCCATCGTTTTTGAACCAACCCACTGTGTGGTCATAGTAGCTGGCCACGATGATATCGATCTTACCATCGGAATCAATGTCACCAACGGTTACGATACGGGCGCCATTGCTGCTGTAGGTAACCTGCTCTGGGTCGCCGAACTGTCCGCTCCCGTCATTCCGGAACCAAGCAACAGTGTTGTCAACGGCCGATGCAGAAACCAAGTCCATGTCGCCATCGTGATCGAAATCTGCGGCGACAGCACACCTCGCGCCCATTGCCTGAGTTGTGACAACTTGACGGGTCTGGAACACATTGTCCGTCACACTGGAAGATGACAAGCAGCACGAACAACTCTGGGTCGAGCTGCCCACGCGCGCATGCCAAGCCAAGAGACCAACACTAAGTGCAGTTGTGGGGCTTGGATATAATGTAAAGGGCGTGTTCGAGAATCCCGAGGGCATGGCCTGACTCAAGATATCGGGAGCAGATTGCCGCCTCGAGCTCGAACCCTGCGGAGACAGAGTACACACTGTCAACACCCCATCACCTTGCATGCCTGCGGACAGGGGAGAAACAAGAAACAAGAAAGTTGGAAGAGACGGGCGGGAACGTATATTCTCATCCAGGGGGGACATGTACAATCCCTTCCTCTATCCCTGTCCCTCCCCCCTTTCCGCTCTCCCTCGTCCCTTCCATCCCCATGCTCTCTCGTTCCATCCCTCGCATCTACCTGCCCCCCTCCGTCCTCAGCTGCGTCCGTCCTTCCACCCCTTTACCCGCGGCTACACGTTAGAAAGGCTCCAGGCAGGAGTGGTCTCTGGTGCGCGACGTTCGGGGGCCGCGGGGGGCCAAATCCAAGCGCGCATTGCCGTGCTGGGGGACCCCACACCAGAGGTCACTCCAGCGACGGGCCCCCTCCTTCCACCCCCCTCCTTGCCAGGGCAGCTGCCGAAGGACCTCGTGAGGAAGCGAGCGGATGTGACAGGCCATGAGAGCAGCCGCCCCTTTGACGGAGCTCGGGGCCTTGTCAGCGGAGTGCCTGCACCATCGAGCAGCGAGGGACATCGTGTGCGGCACGGACTGCGAGCTGGACGGGCCCGACAGGGAGGCTTCTCCGTAGCCCAGGGGCAAGCCGGCAACGCCCCTGGAGGCAGACCGACCGTGCGGAGCGGCACGGCCTGAAACCAGCGCAGCGCGGCGGGCACCGTAGGAGTCGCAGCAGACGCTGCGCCCTGGAGAGTTCGCGGCGGAGAGATATTCGTGGTCAGCCCATCTTGTGGGCACCAGCACGCGCTGGGGGCGTCAGCGAATCAGCTCACGTAGCTGGTTTTCCCAGCGCAGCCGTGCGACGAAGGCCAAGCGTCGAGCGGCGGGGCCGAAACCTGCTGCGCGCAGCAAATGTCGTCCGGCCCGAGCCCAGTTGGGCGTTGCTTCATGGGGGTGCGATCAACGGGGGAGGGGGGTGGGAGGGGTGGGGCACGTGAACCTGTCGGGCCCCAATAGCAGGAGGAGGCAGAGGAGGGGGACGAGCAACAGGCTGGTGAGGAGAGGGAGGTGGATAGGGACCAGGACGCTTTCGAGGAGGGGGGCAAACCTCCTCCACTGAATGGGACCCAGGGACACGAACAAATAGGCACAAATCAAAGGACTCCCCATGAATTCCATATTTCCTGGATGTTCGTCTTCCCCTCCACTTCCCATGTTTTCCATATTTTCTGGGCCTCAGCGATTGTCGGTGTCTGTGTTATTTTCCCCCTCCTGATCCTCCTCCGACCCTTGCCGTGAACGCAAGCGGCCCCTGACAGAAGCGGGTCCTGGACCATGGGGCCTCCTCCCGGGACCAGCTGTTCTTCCCGAACCGTTTCCTGACGGCGGTCCTGGCCCCCGTGGAGGGCCCCTTGGCGGCGCGCACAAGGGGGTAGGGGGAGGGGGGAAGGCTTCTTAGAAGCAGGCTGCTTCTTAGAAGGCGCCGGCCTTACATCTACAAAGAAGGCCCGCGCCTTCTAAGAAGCCGGGGTGCTTCTAAGAAGCATTACCCCCTCCCCCTACCCCCTTCTGCGCGTGGCCAAGCCCCGGGAGCCAGAAAACGGCCAAAGACCTGAGGACTCGCTTCCCGCTGGACACCCTCTCCTCCATGGCGATCCTCGGAGGCCAAGGCGCCGCCACCGAGAGGGGCGCGCCTTGTCCCGGATGACGGCGCCCCAGTTGCCGGCGCCCTTGAACGCCTCGCACGGCGGGGGGAGCCGCGTCGTGAAAAATTCTCGGAGGGTTTTGAGTGTAATTTTCTGCCTCGGGGGGCCCTCGCCAGGCCCCGGGACTGTCAGAGAACGACCCAATATGAAAAGCAAGTCGCCAGGAAGGGCTCCAAAGCTCGGGGGAGCCATGTTGAATACAACAAGGCGACATCCGATGTTTGGGCAGCACATGAGGTCGGAGGATCGCACCGCATCGCCGATGCAGCAGCGACGTCTGGACGGACAATATCGTACTCCGCATGGCGCCGCATCGCCGACGTATCAACATCGCCGATATACTCCAGCACTATTCGGGCGGCCTGGATATTCCTCCTCCTCCCTCCCACGATTCGGGCGTCGCCAGAAATCGCGCCCGCCGTCTCTTCATCTCGTTCGGCCTCCTGGTAATATTTTAATTGTTCAGGGTTTCGGCATATGGCCGAAGGGTAGGTGAGAGGGGGATATGGGTCTGGGAGTCGATCTGGTTTTGCACGAAACGTAAACAGACTGGGGAAGAAGGACGCTGACCAGTCGCACAAAGTAGCCGCCAAGAGCAGCCACCAGGATCTTGTCCATGGAGGGGAAGGGCGAGGGGGGAGCAGGGGCCGTCGCCGATCGGCGAAACAATGCGGGGCGGCTTCCCCGCTACTGGGCCGCCCGAACAATACTCGGCAGGAAAAGCAAACCCCCGGACAGAGGTCAACATCCCAAGGGGGGCTCACGCCGCGAATAGGCTGCCCCACCAGAAGAAGGCCCTCCTCCTGTCTTCCTCCTCCTCCTCCTCCTCCTCCTCCTCCTCCTCCTCCTCCTCCTCCTCCTCCTCGGTGCCAACTCATCGGATCCTCTTATGCTAACATGCTGATCGACGCTACTCGACGCGAGTCGACACCAATCGGCGCTAAATCGCCGCGCATCGACGCTACATGGCGCTTTTTCATCGACTGCCAGACGCCAGCGCACGCGAGTGCACTCTGAGGGCGAAATTGCGAGGACATGCAAGAAGGCTCCCATGATTTGCTCCCGAACCCTCCCTCCCTCCCCCCCCCCTCCTCTTCCTCCTCCTCCCTCCGGCCCACCCGTCTGGCCCGACGATGCGCGAGCCAGGCGCGCCGCGCCGCGCCAGCGTCGCTCGGTGGGGCGCGCGGCCTCCTCCGAGGGCGGGGGCGCTTCTGACCCTCGACCTCCGCACCTCCGGCCTCAAAACTTCCGCGCTCCAGGCGCCGCCGCGGCGCGGCCGAGGCGGCCGCCGAGACTGTCGCTGCAGCCTCGACGGCAGGCGCCGCTGCGGCCGCGAGGGCGGCCGCCGCTGCGCGGCACCTCCCGCGCGGCACGCGGGAGGTGGAGGTCGAGGAAGGAAGGCAGAAGGGGCTCCTCGGAAGCCCTCCCGGCTTATTAGAAACCTTCTCAGAGGCCTCCGAAAACCTTCCCGGGCCCTGTCTACGAAAACCCCCGCCTTCGAAGGCGCCCACCCTCCCGCCTTCTCTTCGCCCTCCTAGCAGGCCACACCCCTCGCGACCAACCCCCCTTCGCAGCGCCAAGCCGTGATCTCGCGCGAGCTGGCGCTTTTCCTCAACCTCGGCTTCTCGAATAGCCCGACCACGGGCCTTAACACATACCATGAATTCTGGCTTGGGTTCTCGCATGGTAGACGCTACGGCACCTGATGGGCCGTAGCGCAACATGGCGGACCGTAGGTGGGGTGGTGTCGTTGTTTTTTGTCGACAAGCGTCCCGACGAACAAAAACAACGTTTTGTCATGATCTCGGCCTTCGGGGGTCAGCTGCGGGCCGCGGGATCCGCAACAATCAAACTGGGACGAAGAACTGGTCCCAAGGATGGGGTCGAGAGCTTAAGAGACCCGCGATCTGAACACATATCGCAACGCAAAAGGTCGAGAGAGCTCCGCCACACGGAAAATCCGCCGACCCCTTGGGGTCATCGGCGTGTGAGATGCTTCCCCCCTCCCCAAACCCCTCCCCCCGGAGCCTGGTCCGGTCGTTTTGGAGGGGGGGGGGGGGGGTCCGGCCGGATTCCCCGGGATCCGCCGGCGCGGTCCGGGGGGGGTCATCCGCTCCAGAGAGTCTGCTGGGGGGGCCGCAAACGAGCGAAGAGGCTCCCAAGAAGCTCTGCAGACGGTCCAAGAGGGCCCCGAGTCGCCGAAAAAACACTCGAAGACGGTCAAGATGGCCTCCAGATGGCCCCAGATGCCTCCAAGACGCCCCAAGAAGCTTCCAAGACGCCTCCCAAGATGGCCCCAAGAGGCCAAAATCGTCGATTTCCATTGGTTTTTTCAACGTTTTTGGCCTTCGCGTTTTTTCGGGCTTCCGACGCTCCAAGACGGCGAAAGAAGCCCCCAAGACGGCATCAAGACGACCCGAGAGGCTCCCAAGTGGGCCCCAACACGGCCCAAGAGCGCCTCAAAACGGCTCAAGAGGGCCTTCAGACAGTCCAAGAGGGCCCACAGAGGGGCCCAAGAAAGGCTCCAGACGGGGACCACGAACCTAAAATTCTAGCCTTCCGCCCCAAAAGGCGCCAAGGAGGCCCCAAGAGGCCTCCAAGAGGCTCCAAGAAGCCCCCAAGAGGCCCCCAACAAGCCCAAAAAAAGCCCCAAGCTGCCCCAAAACAGCTCCCCAGAAGCCTCCAAACTGCCTCCCGCAGGCCCCCGAGAGGATTCTCACGACGACGGCGCCAGAGGCTCCCACAACGGTCAACGAAGCCCCCAAGATGGCCCCAAAAAGGTGCCCAGCCTACGCCGTCGAGTCTGTCGCCGCCATTGTCGTCCTCGTCGTGTTCTCCTGCTCCTTCTCATCCTCCTCTTCCGCCCCCTCCTCCCGTCTCCCCTCTCAGCTTTCTGTCTCGTATTCCCTCCACTGGCTCACTTTTCACCTTCTCCGCCTTTGGCTGCTCCCCCATCCTCCCTCCTCCACGTCCCCCTTATCCATCCCGTCCCCAGCGGTCAGATTCCTCGCAACTTCCGTGCCTTGTCGCAATGCTCGTCACTTGGTTCCGCCGGGCGTTTCGGAGGGTCTCTCCGCGGCGCTCGTCCCGCTTTAAAACACTTCGCGCACACAACTGGGTTGTTTCGCTTGAAATAATTCTTCTTCTGGTCTTTCGACAAATGGCCCCCGTCTGAAAACGCTGGTTTCTTCCCGTCCCCGTTCGGTGGGCACGCGGAGCATTCAAACTTTTTCGCCCCCGTGCGCGCATCGTGACACGCGCGGCACACGACTGGGCGATGCGCCTGGCCCGTCTTCCTATAATGTACTTTCTGGTTATCGGACAAATGGCTCAAGTCTGTGAACGCGGGCGCCTTCCCATCCGCCCCCGTCGGGCATGCTCCACAACGGAAAATCTGGGCCTCCGATTTTTCGTGGCACGCGCGGCACATGACCGGGCGATGCGTTTGGCCCGTTCTCCTGTAATGTTCTTTCTGACTGTCCGATAAATGGCTCACGTCTGTAAACGCGGGCCTTATCCATCCCGTCCCCAGCGGTCAGATTCCTCGCAACTTCCGTGCCTTGTCGCAATGCTCGTCACTTGGTTCCGCCGGGCGTTTCGGAGGGTCTCTCCGCGGCGCTCGTCCCGCTTTAAAACACTTCGCGCACACAACTGGGTTGTTTCGCTTGAAATAATTCTTCTTCTGGTCTTTCGACAAATGGCCCCCGTCTGAAAACGCTGGTTTCTTCCCGTCCCCGTTCGGTGGGCACGCGGAGCATTCAAACTTTTTCGCCCCCGTGCGCGCATCGTGACACGCGCGGCACACGACTGGGCGATGCGCCTGGCCCGTCTTCCTATAATGTACTTTCTGGTTATCGGACAAATGGCTCAAGTCTGTGAACGCGGGCGCCTTCCCATCCGCCCCCGTCGGGCATGCTCCACAACGGAAAATCTGGGCCTCCGATTTTTCGTGGCACGCGCGGCACATGACCGGGCGATGCGTTTGGCCCGTTCTCCTGTAATGTTCTTTCTGACTGTCCGATAAATGGCTCACGTCTGTAAACGCGGGCGCCTTCCCATCCGCCCCCTTCGGGCATGCCCCACAACGGAAAACCTGGGCCTCCGACTTTTCCAGGCACGCGTGGCACATGACAGGGCGATGCGCCGTGCCCGTGTCCCAATAATGCCTTTTCTGACTCACCGTCAAATGGCGTGTGTCCATGATTTCGGGTCCCTTTCCATCCGCCCCCTTCGGGCATGCGGAGCACCGTAGCACCCGCGACTTCTCGTGCTCCTCCTGGCATGATCGGCACATCACTGGTCTATGGCCTGCGCCCGTTTTGTGGTACTTCTGCAGTTGATCCGGCGTCAAATGTCGTGTGTCTGTGAACGTCCCCCCTGTTCCATCCGCTTCTGACGGACACGCAGAACATTTCAGCGGCTTCTGTTGGCGCGCAGCTCGTCGCGCAGCGTTCATCTCGTTCTCGCACTCTCTTTCCTTCTGCGATTTGCTCCACTTGTTCCACCCGCCTTTTCTTTTCCCCGCGCACTTCTTGCAGAGCTTCTCTCCCGCGCTTTTCGTCGCATACTGGTTCGCCGCAATTTCTGCCTCCGTTTTCAGGAATTCCAGGCATTCACCGCATCGAATCTTAAACTTCTCCTGCACCTGCCCCCGCCACGCCTCCGATGTCTTCCGTGACTTCCGTGCGGCGGCGGGCCCTGCGCACCGGTCGCATTTGCTTGTCCGCACGAACACTCTATTCCTTTCGACCCCCCCTCCCGCCACTGTGGACGCCATCTCAGCCCATTGCTCACAAGTCGTGCACCACTTTTCTCCTGCCCCCTTCAAATTCTCCATGCAGTCGCAGCAGAAGCTCGGGCCCGACTTCGCGGCGAACTCATTCGTCGTGAATTCAGCCTTTTCCTTCACTTCGCAGCATTTCCCGCACGTCTTCCGCGGCATCACCTTCTTCTCGATTTCGGACCACGGCAACGTCTCCCCGCGCAACTTTTGCAACAACAGCTTCGTTCCTTCCATGCCTCCTTGCGTGTGCGGCTGTCTCGAAAATGGCCGATAGATGAGCAAGCCGCGGCGAGTCTTCACGCGCGTTATGGCCACGTAGCTCGACATCCAGCTGACGTTCCTGCCTTCCTCCAAATCCGCTATAACTGCGTCGAGCGTCCGCCCTTGCGCTGCGTGCGCCGTGCAGGCCAACCCGGGTGAAATTAAAAACTGTCTCCGTCGCACCCCCAACACGGGTTTCTTGCGGTACGAATCCAGGTGCCACGTTCTGGCACGAGGGACAATGGGATAGAGCCCTGGTCCCGGCATCCCTTTGAGCGTCCATTTGTCGGTGTGAAAATCTAACACGATTTGCCTTGGCATCTCACGAAGCACTCTCGACGCCACGTCCTCCACGTCTGGCTCGTCTTCATCCACCACCCACGAATGTATCGTCGCGCGGCACCCCCGTAGCAATTGCTTCTCTGACCGGTCCAAATGGTCCGTGAGTGCAACTGGCATGCCCACGGCAAGCGGCAACCAACCTGGCATGTCTGCACAGGCTTTGTCGTGGTATCCGAGCCACCGCACTTTGTCTGCTGAGGTGCATGGCCGTTCCTGAAACGTTGCGTGACGTGCCGTGTCCCGCGCATACACCCACGAAATCTGTTTCTCCTGGCACGCCGCCCAGTCTACAGCACGCTGCCGCGCTACCTTGCACTTCACATCCTGGTTCGGATAAATCGCTGTGGCTTCGACGAACTGCGGAAGTGCGAATCGTTCGTCTGTCGGACTCGTCGCTACGAGACATCGACGCTTTCTTTCCTCTTTACACTTGTCACACTCCCGCTCATTATTTTCTGCGATAGCTTCAACGTTCTGCGCGCAGGCTTGTGAACCACACATTGGCTTGTCATCCAACCAAGACCCTGGAACGTCTGTAGGTCTTCCATGCAGAAACTGGTGTGTCCTTTCGGTCAAGGCCCCCCGTCGGAACTCGTCCTGTACTCCCAGGAACCACTCGTCTTTCTCTTCCAAGCGCTTGCACTCCACCAATTCGGTCATCCCCGCCACCGACCCTGGCCCGTCGCCCCAGAAGATGGAATGACCATGATCTTCTTCGGCGCTTGGCGCATACTGCCTCGCTTTCCGCACCCACGACGTCGGAATCGCATTCAACGGGGTTCCGCCGGGAGGTTCCAACTGGTAGAAGTCTCCGCAGAACAATACATTCACACCCCCAAACGGCCGGTCCACCTTATCGGAACCCACCTTCCCTTGCCTCGCTTCCGACATCACAGATCGCAAGTGCGCATCCAGTTCTGCAAGGAAATTTGCACTCACCATACTGATTTCGTCAATGATGAGCCAACGCCACTGTTGAATTCGCTTCGCTGCCTCAACCTTCTTTGCACCCGGCTCTCCACGCCTTTTACTGGCGTCCTGACCGGAGCCGTATGGACTCATCCCAAAGGCGGCGTGCAACGTGTGCCCGTCCAGACTGGACGCGTTCGTGGCTTGTAACGCAGCCACTTGAAAGTCCAGGCCGTGTTCCCAACCCATCACGCCCTCGAAAACGTGCTTCCGTAAGGTGTCCACCACGAAGCTCTTCCCTGTGCCTGGGCCTCCGTGCTGAACTGCCACTTGTGCCGTCGTTTTCCTGACACTCAGCAATCATCCTGTTGACGACCTTCTCGACGACCTCTCGCTGTTTCTCATTCATATCAACGACGCGATCGCTGCTGGGTCCGCGCAAACGTGCCTTCCACCGCCGCAACTCCTCAACACCGCCTCCGGGGACCTTTTTCACGCGACCCTCCTCTTCTTCGGAACCCTCCAACGCATTCCCGCTTGTCTTCGTCTGAGATGCCCGAGCTTCTGCTTCGCGTCGCTTGAGCTCTGCTTCTGGCACGTCTACGCGCCCGTCTGTTCTCGCCCACGCTCCTCTTGCGTCCCCTCCTCCTTCACCCGCTTCTCGCCCCCATACACGCGTCGACAATGACATGGCTTCTGCACTCAGCCGACGCGCCTCAGCTGTAGCGGCTGGCGTCTCCCTTTTATCGTCCTCTAGGCGCGTCCCCCCAACGTGCACGCGGCGCCGGACCACAGAGCCTCCAACAGAGCCCCTCCCAAAACCGGCGATCGCCCCAGAAAAAAAAACAAGGGGTCGGCGGATGTGGCGTAAGCTTGAAGAATCTACAATGACCGTGTGCCTCCTTAGCTCACATGCGCTGATACACGAATTGGTAACGGAGGAGGCACCTAGATATGCGCACACAATCAAGCCAGCGAAACTGCTCCCAGTTGGCGCACGGCCATTCAAATGAGTCGAAGTAGGCAGGTTAATGACTTGCCATGTGCGACGTGTTGGCCACCAGTAATTCCAACACTCCCAAACCGAAGCAATATTGGTCTGTCGTGCTTATCTTCCTGTCTCAGGGCACATACGTGTTCACAGGATGAACCAAGCTACACAAACAACGAACAATCAAGGTATGCCATGGTACGCCCCCCCCCCCCTGGGAAAACACGACTCTTGCAGCCAAGGCAGACGGAACAACTATCGCATCGCCTGTATCATTTTCTTCGTGGTGCGGAACAGCATGAGATTGCCTGATCACGGTTCGCGGTGTCGCCTCCGATCCCCGTATCTCCTCCACCCATCCGCTGCAAGCTGCATGAAGTGCAATGTAAGCTTCAAGCAGGCGGGTTTTCTCGGCTGCAATGGGTTCTTGAATCCAACACCGTGCCGTGCCGTAGGCACGCTGGGGTGAATTAGAATGCGTGTATGTTGCCTGGTATGGTCTCTTTATGGCTTCTTGCGCGCTTCATAGCCATAGCGAAGGCCTCCCCTACTCCTCCGAGAATCTCCGCCCATGCTCTGCATCATCCAAAGCGACTATAAACACGGCACATCGAAGTCCCAGAGGCGAAAAGATGTCTGTAGGCTACCCCAAGAGCCCCAATAAGCATCCAAGAAAACGCCAAACGAGACCTCCCGCGAAGCCCACAAAAACGGACAACGTTGAACATCAGCTGTTTCCGATGTTTTCTCGGCTTGAGATAGATCGCCTCGACAAGCTTCCGAGAAGCCCCAGAACCGCCCGAGACGGCCAACACGGCCTCAAGAGCGACGCTATCCGATCTCAAGCGCGCTCTCTTCGGCTTCCAGACGGTCCAATACAGCCGAAGGCCGCCCCAGAACTGCTGCAAGGGGCCGCATGACCATCCAACAGCCGCCAACGATTGGCGGCGCGCACAAGGGGGTGGAGGGAGGGGGGAGGGCTTCTTAGAAGCACCTCTGCTTCTGAGAAGGCGCGGGCCTTATCTATAGATGTAAGGCTGTCGCCTTCCAAGAAGCAGCCTCCTTCTAAGAAATCCTCCCCCCTCCCTCCACCCCCTTGTGCGCACCGCCAAAACGAGCGGAGGAGCCGTTCGGCCCCCTCGGCCACAGCAGGGCGGGTCACCGTTCGCCAGCGGCTGCGGGTGGAATCCCTTCGGCACCAGCAGGTCGGCGTCCTGCACTGCGCCGCCCCCCCGGGTGGCGGCGCGGCGCGACGGGGGCGCGGCCGCGGCTGCTGCCAGCCCTGCTTGAGATCGTTGTTTTGCATGTTACGGCGACAACCAAGATTATCCTGTGGGGCGGGGGAGAGAGTAACAGAGGGGGTTATCCTGTGTGGGGGGGATGGGGGCCGGCCGACAACCTGACATGTTCGCTTTGGGCAGCCCGACGTATGCACCCGCGCACCAATACTGCGTACCCCCATTAGGCCATGCGCAATCGACAAGGTCAGGTTACAAGCGGGGCAGGGGGGGCGGGGCCGCTAACCTGCGCGATCGCCAGACACTTACATAAAAGTCTCCTTGGAGCAACGCCAAGGGGGGACACCACGAAGGACGGCAAGATAGGTCAGCATCAAGTCGGGAAAAACGGGTCGACTGGAAATGTGCATCGGATCGGACCGCCTCGGCTCGGAATCGGAATCGGATCGACTTGGCGGCGCCAGGATACCTAACGGCGTCATGCAAACCTGCGGACGCATCGGCTCGTCAGAAAAACTGAGGCCGAGTCGGCCCAGGCAGGCCAGACCCGACATCGACTCGGATCGATCGGAGCGGAATGGACCCCACTGCGGGGGTCGCCGCTCCCTCCGGCAAGGGGCATCCCCTCGAGGAGGCGGGCCTCCCAGGAGCACCCCGGAGCCCCCCAGGAAAGGCGCCCCAAAAAGGCCTCCTCGAGCTCCGCTCACGGAGCCTCGCTTCCCAGGAGGAGCTGGCGACCGCCCCTGGCGGTGACCCTCCCGTGGCGCTGCCCGACGGCTGTGCCAGGAGGTGGCCCAGGAGACCACTGGGCACACGCGGCCCGATTCGGGTCAGACTTGTTTTCGGCGGCACGCCCGGGGGGTGTCAATGGCACAGTATGCGTTCCAATGCAGTTTCACTTCTCATGAAGATTTTGCGTTCCAGAAAAGCAGTGCTGTGCATGATGTGTGGTGATTTGATGTACGTGTGCCATCGCACACGTGAGTTCGCACCGACGCCGTTATTGATCACATACCGATAGGCCCCTGGGTCAATCGAAACTACGAGCGAATCTCTTCGATTCCCATTATAATTCTTATCCTGTTCTGTTCGGTTCTCTACTTCGTGTGAGAGAACCTCGGTGGTTGCACAGGAGTGCTACCGACATTGGTAGCGGGGTCAGTGGCTCCAGATCCGCGGCTAACAGGAATCGGAGACCTCGCTCGTGGGTGCACGCTCTCACCAGCGGAAGATGAGATCATCCGGCTCCGGCGGCCCACGGCTTAAGGGTAAGCAGATGCCAGCAGACGAGGCCGGTGATGGCCCAGCGGTTCCAACGGCAGGCACTGCGCGACTGGACGACGGCGACACGGACAGTGACCTGCGCGACGGAGGCCAACACCGCGGTCGAGGCGACAGACATCCGCAGATGGACGCAGGACTGGCCGAATGCTGCCCAGATACGACGGACTTGCGGCACGACATGTACCGCAATTTAAGAAGAGGAGCGACGGTGTTCCAGCGGCTTTGTCAGCGCAGAGGGGGCACCGTGGTGAGTGAATAAACGTACCTCTTACTGCAGGCGCTGCAAGGCGACGCCTGGGACGCATGGGAGAGTATCAGCTTCGAGAAGATGGACGCGAACGAAGCGTTTGACGAGATTTTTGGTACACGCAGGAGGTGGAGCTGTCAGGGAGATGCGATGCGTTCTTTGCAGAGTTTGCGAGGTTGCCGAAGGAGACACTGAACGAGTACGTGCTGTGACACGGCCAGGAAATGTTAAAGTTACGAGAAGCTGGACTGGACACACTGGACCTCCTGGCGGGATGGTACATGATGACGAGGTCGGCGATCAGGCGATGGCAGATTCTCATAATCAAGGCGTTGTGCAACGACAAGTTGGCGGTGCAGGTCGTGACTGAGTCTCTCAAGACGATGTTTGGAGGAGATAGTACGGCACCCAAGAAGGACACCGATCGAGTGACGAGCACGTACCGAAGCAAGAGCTACGAAGGTGGCGACAACTACTGGGCCGAAGAAGAAGAAGGCGACGCATATTGGTATGAGGACGAGTATCCGGATGAGCAGTACTACGAGGATGACGAGTGGTATGAGGAAGACGAGTAGCCAATCCCCAAGGAGCTCGAAGATGCGTACGAAGCGACGGAAGAGGCCTCTTCGTTCGCGAACTACACGGAGGCCCGGGCAAAGATGAGAGAGTTGGAGACAGCGAGAGGATTTTATCAGGTCGTGGCGTTGATGGAGGACCGACGAAGATTACCACCACCGCGGGCCGGCGACATGCGGCCACAAAAAGGACGAGGAAGAGCAGGCTCGGGATACGGCACATCTCGCGAAAACTCACGCAAAGGAAAGCCAAAAAGGCAGATATGGCGGCAGAGCACCATGTGGAGGCAGGGGTGGAGCCAAGGGTGGACGGCATCCCGATGGCTCGCCCAAGATGACGACGGCAGGTGCGACCCAGCAGCACTGACCTCGATTCAAGCGTCGAAGCGATGGTGCTGCAGCCGGTGGACATGAGGAGGCGAAGATGCTGTATGAGATGCACGGTGACATGACGATGACGGAGATCGCACCGAGTCGAGACGACTACGATGGAAGAAGTGAACTTGGCTACGGGCAAAGGTGTCGGCGACAGTGGAGCGACGAAACCAGTGATGGGTCTTGAGGAGTGGCCGGCATGGCGCGAGAAGTTGCAGAAGATGGGCCTATCCAATGAGATCCAGACGGCACGGTGCCACAAGACGTTCAGGTTCGGCAGCGACGAGACCGCGACGGTGAAGCAGCAGGTGACGTTCCCTGTTTGGGTGCAGAACGCGAAGAGGCAGATCACGGTCTACCTCGTTCCAGGTCGAGTGGCTCTGCTAGTGGCAAGGCCCTGTCTCGAGAAGTGGGGCATGGTGATCGACTACCGCAACAAGAAGGTGATGTACCTGGACGATCAACCACAGGAGTGGATCGACATGGAGACGAATGAGAAAGGTCATATGATTATCGATCTACTGGACTTCTCGTCCGATGTGCTAGCGGCAGATGAGGAGTCAAGCTCAACGGATGCAGACACAGACGGCGACCACAAGGTGGAGAGCGAGAAGGAGACGGACTTCTTCGTGAGCAGCAGCTGCGGCGACGCTGAGATCGAGAATGCGGAGACCACGAAGTTCGATGCGAAGCAGCTGGAGGACTGGTTTGCATAGACCAACCGCACGTTGGATAGCAAGCCGATGGCAAAGAGGCGGTTCTGGACGATTTTTGCCGCAGAAGGACGAATCGCACACTACGTGGAGAAGCACGGCGACCGTAAGACGGAGAAGTTCACGCTGGAGACCGGCTGGGACTTCACGAACGGCTCGCATCGCAAGGCATTCATGCGGGAACTGGCAACGAAGAGGCCGGAATAAGTATGGATAGCACCGCCGTGCACTGCATGGTCTTCGATCAACACACTGGCGGAAGCAAACAGGAGCAGCGAATACCGACATCCGCGACGGAGAGAGCGTGGCAAACAGCAGCGCAACTTCCTGAAGTTCAGTCGGGAGATCTACCAGGCGCAGCAACAGGCGGAGAGGCACGCGCATATAGAACACCCTCGATACGCAACATCATGGGAGACCGAGGCGTGGTACGGCATGACGGGCTACGACACATTCGTGGACCAGTACGCCTACAGACTCCTGGCGCTGGATTCTGCAGGACGAAGGCTCGGGCCGATCAAGAAGCCGACCAACGTGAGGACCACGAATATGCAGATGTACGAGGGACTCTGGAAGACATGCAGCTGTAAGGAGAAACACGTGAGTCTCGAGGGTGGACACAACATGCGTGGCGTGGAGATCTACCCGAGGAAGATGGCATTTCAGGCGGCGATCTGCATCGTGGACGATCCGCAGAACGAGGTCAGCCACGAGGTGGAAGAGATGACCCAGGAGGACCTCGACAAAACCGAGCACAAGATGGTGGAAGGCTCTGCTGGAGAAGTTCACCATCGAGGAGGTCAAGGGGGTAGAGCAGATTCATATTCAGAGGGGCCATTCCTCGAGCGAGGCGTTGGCAGCAGCACCGAAGGAGATGAACGCGGACGACCGACTGATTAGCTGTGCGAGGATATACATATGCGAGACATGCCTCAAGCGGCAGAGACCGAAATCAATGCGAGCCGCGCATCCCGCGGTATGGAGGATTCAACGGCACCGTGGATATCGACACGTTCCATGTTGCGTGGAAGGACGAGCACAAGATGATATTCACCATCAGGGACGAGAACTCAAGTTTCGAGGTCGACACGGTGGTGAAGGACGAGAAGGCACGCACCGAGATCATGGCGCTCGAGAAGCACTGGATCAACTGGGCCGAAGCGCCGGCCAAAATTCGAGCGGACCAGAGTGGCGCGCACGTGAGTGACGAATTTATGGAGTGGTGCGACGGTCAATAGATCAAGCTGCAGCTGATTCCAAGGGATGCTCACCATCGACTTGGCATACTCGAGCGGAATCACCAGGTGCGACGGGAGCAGATAGCACGCTATCATGAAGATCATCCTGAGGACAGTTTGAAGCTTGCGGTGCGCATGACCTGCGACGCGCGCAACCAGCTGCGCAACGTGAAGGGTTTCACGCCATCGCAGCGGGCGCTAGGAAAGCAACCGAAGAATCTCGGCAACATGGCGGACGAACCGACAACTACGGGCGACCTCGGTGACCACGACGAGGAGTTCTGCCGCAACCTGGCGCGCAGGCGGGACGCAGGCAAGGCTTTTCTGGCGGCGAACGTGGCAAGAGAAGTTCGGGAGGCGCTGGCGGCCAAGAACCGGCCCCTCTCGAGAGAGTTCCAGATCGGCGAGTGGGTGTACTTCTGGAGGCGCGACAAAGGCGAGAGCGACCTCATCAAGAGCTACTGGAAAGGACCGCCGATGATCATGCAGGTCGAGTACACGGACGATCCCGATAAGCTGAGACAATCAGTGCTGTGGTGTGTGCACGGCAGCACGCTTATACGGACGACGCACGAGCTGTTACGAGCCGAACTGCCAGAGGAGCGACGGCAAAGAGAAGAAGAAGATGACGATCACGGACTGCCACTGTCAACGGCAGAGCGAGTGCTGGAGAAACTGAGGAACATCAGCGGATCCACGAAGTTCGCGGACCACACGGGCGAAGTTATCGGCCAGCCAGAGGACTACGAGGACGAACACTTCCCCATGGAGATGGATACGAAGGGCGTCGATACTGACGGCCAGGCGGAGGTGACCGAGGCCGATAGGCAGGACGAGTACCACGAGGGCGAGCAGAGCGACGACGGCGACCGAAGAGCACCCGAGGTGTCCGAGATGCAGGCGCCTACGGCGTCAGAGCCCCCACGCCCGGACGTCTCGGCGGGCACGTCCCAGGACGTGGGTAGCCCGGAGATGGAGCGCGAGACAACACCAGATGGGCCAGGTCCTGAGCAGGTCGAGGTGGAGCAGAAGACGACCCAGACCGCGGCTGAGAAGCGGAAGGCGGAGGAGCAAACGGCCGAGGACGGTGACGAGTTGCTGAATGCCATCAACGCGGCAAAACGACTGGACGGATTACGGCCACTACCGAAGAGACCGAAGCAGACCGACGTGACGATAGCGGACAGCGCAGCGAGCAGCGGTGAAGGCGACGAACTGCTGCTACTGTACGAGGATGCGGATACGATCTACCTGACCAACGCGGCTAAAAAGGATTCGGTGGTGAAGGCCAGGCTAAGTATGGACGAGCGGAGGCAGCTCGATGAGGCGAAGACCAAGGCGCTGCAGCCATGGATCGAGAACCAAGCGTGGTAGGCAATTAAGGAGAACGTGGCGGACGCTGGAGAAGTGTGCCCCATGCGTTTCCTGCTGAAGTGGAAAATGATGAAGGATGGAGTGAAAGAGGCGAGCGCGAGAGTGATCCTACAGGGTTCCCACCTGGAAGAGGTGACCAGCACAAACGTGGAGAAAGCGAACCCTACTCTCACGAGGCTCACGAGGTTCCTCATCCTGCTTATTCTGTGCCAACATGCTTGGAAGATGGTGGCAGCGGATGTGAAGAGTGCATTCCTACAGGCGAAGGGTATCAGAGAACAAGGAGTTCGGAACTTCAGCAGTCCGACCAAGGACATACGACGTCGACTGGCGAAGATGATGGGCCTGCAGGACGACGAGATCTTACATAACTGAAGCAAGCTTTTGGAGACGTACGAGTCCCGAGGCAATGGAATCAGGCGATCATGGAGGCCATGCTCGAGATTGGCTTCCTGCAGCACGCGCTGGACAAATCCTGACTCCTGTCGTATCGAATGGCGCTCGACGGGGACGACCCGCTTCTGATCTGGCAGGCGGACAGCGACCAGCACTATGTGTTGGACGGCGTGCTGGGGCTGCACGTGAACGACTTCATCGGCGGCGGCGAGAAATTTGAGCGCGAAGAGGACCTCTACAACAAGCATGCGTACGATGGCACCTTCTTAGATCGGGTGCAGAAGCTCAACCAGAGTTTCAAGTTCGGCAAATTGGAGCTCTCGAACAGCATCGTTTTCTGCGGCATGGAGACTACGCTGTCGTTCTCACGCGACGAGATCGAGGTGAAGGTCGAGGCATACATACATAAGGTGAAGCCGATTAGCGTCGAGAAGACGAGAAAAACATATCCAGACGACCCGCTCACATCGTAGTCAGGTGCATCACAATGCATGGTGCAGGCAGCGGCGACGGTATCAGTTGCGCATGGCGACGTCAGCAAGGCGACGGTCGTCAATTTACTGGAGGCAAACAAGTCGCTGAGGCTCCTGAAGGCGAGTGGTGATGTGAGGATTCGCATTAACTACGTGGGATCCTGGAGCAAGCTGAGGCTTAGAGTCTACTGGGATGCATCATGGGCTACGAGGTCGAATGGCGAATCGCAGCTCGGCTATATGATCTTCGTGATCGAGGATGCTAGGGTCGACGACGGACAGCCAACGCAGTTGGTAATAGTAGATTGGGCGAGCAAGAAGCTCGTGAGGACCTGTCGGAGCTCCTTGGCAGGCGAGGCTCAGAGCGCGGCGAACTCAGTGGACGCGCTGGAGTTTGCGAAGACTATGCTCACGACAATGCTCTTCCCCACGATGCAGCTGACGGGCACGGAGATGTTGAAGGTATTGGGACGCAACCCATGCATCACGGACTGCAAAGCGCTGCACGATGCGGCGAACTCTCAAGCGGCAGCCGGAAACTTGACGGAGCGACGGACTGGGATTGAGATCTGGCAGATCAACGAGAAGATGCGGGAGTTCGGGGGTGTATGGAGATGGACCAACACGCACCAGCAGATGGCAGATGGTCTGACGAAGCTACAGGTGCGACAGCAGTTCGTCGAGAAGCTGAAAAGGAAGACGCATGCACTCAAGTACGCCGCGACGTTGACGCCTGGCAAGAAGGTTAGCCAGAAGGAGCGAGCTCAAGCCGAGAAGGAGCTGGATGAAGCGGCGGCGGACGAGGCGAATCAGGCGGAAGACGCGGCAAGCGAGGACGGCGACTACCATGAGGACCAGCTGAGAGAGCATGTACGAGCGAAGATTGGCGGTACCCGTACGGTGAGTTGCACAGATTGTGGCTGCGGCGGCCACGAAGTGTGCTAAGGGTGAGAAGGTCGAAAAGAGCAAGACGGAGTTTCCATGGGTACTGGTGTCGTTGTTTATGCTGCTGGTGGCGATTGCCTTTTGCTGTGGATGTGCGCTGGCGGCTACGTGCTGTCTCAAATACACGACCGAGCAGAAGCTCATGGATGAGGTGCGTGTACATCGAGATGCACATACGATGGCCGAGCAGAGGGCTGATACGGCTACGACGGACCAGAGAGTGAACGACGAGATGGAGAGAGACATCAAGGAGCTGGTGCGGACAGCCAGCACCCAGAGCCAGTGCACATACAGACGCGACCTCACGACGCCGAGGTTTCAGTATTTGCGAGAGTGTGAGCAGACGGCATCGCTGAGTGCCGAGTTCGAGGCTTGAGCAAATAAGCAGATTGAGGATGGATGATTACCCCCGGTGAGATATGACGGCATGGATGCGAGCACGTTTCATACTATTTGGGAGAACGGCCCGAAAGACTCCCTTTTTTTTCTCCCCTATGTCAATGGCACAGTATCCGTTCCAATGAAGTGTCACTTATCATGATTTTGCGTTGGTGTAAAGCAGAGCTGTACATGATTAGTGATGATTTGATGTACGTGTGCTATCGCACACGTGAGTTCGCACCGACGCCGTTATTGATCAAATACCGAAGGGCCCCTGAGCCAATCAAAACTACGAGCGAATCCCTTCGACTCCCATTCAATTTCTTATCCTGCTCTGTTTGGTTCCCTATTTCGTGTGAGAGAACCTCAGTGGTTCCAGAGGCGTGCTACCGACAGGGGGAAGCGAGAAGGGGCGGGTCTTCTCGGAAGGCTCGGAAGTCATCTGGCCTTCTGACAAATTGTCAATGCCTTCCCTGGAGACACAGAAAACATTTCAGAAGGCTGGAGGGCTGCTGTGAAGACCCGCCGCTTTCTTTGTTTTCCACGATAACAATGTCATCAGCATGGTGTTACCTCACACGTGAGCCGTTCGCATCAAGAGCAGAGTGAGAAGAGATCGCGCTGCAGATCCGCAGCCCCAGTTGAGGGGGTGAAGGCTGCTGCTGCACATGAGGAATCAACATGATACCAAAAGACAGAAAACACCAACCACGAGGGGGGGGGAAAGCGGAGGAAAACGGAAGAACGAGAGGTGAACGGATGGATGTATTTAGCCGTTGTGAGTGCATTATCCCATGATCCGAACGGTCATTCATATAAACGAGCCTCGCACAACAGCAAACACGGACCGCAACGAAGCATAGCAACACAAAGTCGTAACATACCCAAAATTCCTGACATGCCACTGGAAATCTGACTGGGTGGAAGAAGCCAGTCGATTACATGGACGGTGACCAAGCGAAGGTACAATGCTAAGCACCGTGGGTGACCACGCAAACCTACACGCTCCAGGGTTACAGCACACAGAGAGAAGTGCAAGCGGGTACCCTGTAAGAGGGAAGCGCCGCAGCCAGGCGCGAGGAAACTGAGCGAGAATCGCACACCTGAAACTCAAAAACGACAAAACTAACCTGGGTGGGTGGTTGCGGCATGGCCGCCAGGAGACACGCAGGCGACGGCGACTGCACGGGCCAGGAGCGGTTCCCTACGGAAGCGGCTCACCGGACCCAGCGGCCAACGGCCCACCCGCAACCCCTTGAATGCATCGGGCGCCCCATGCGCCAATTGAGGAGGCGGAGGAGGGAAAGGGAAAGAAGCAGAGTTCCAAGCCGTTTGTCCCGGCCGCGTGGCCGATACGAGGGCGCACAGCTCACCGACCGGGCTTGTCGGCCCGCAGCTCGACGTCGTGCTGTCGGTCATCCCAGTCGTGAATGCCCTTGTGCATGTTCAAAAAAAGTCCTGAGGGCAGAACCTGGAAGGCAGCACCAGCGCTGGCGTTTACGCCAGCGCCTACGCTGGCACCAACGCCAGTGCATGCACCCAGCGCCGACGCCAGTTCTGTCGCCAACACCAACGCCAACGTTGACGCTGGCACCAATGCCAGTGCCTGCACCAGCACCGACGGCAGCACTGATGCCAGCACCAGTGCCAGCCCTCCACCAACTCCGACGCCAGCACCGACGACAGCCCAAACGCCAGCTCCTATACCGGCACGAACACCAACGCCTTCACCAGCGCCGACGTGAGCTGCGTCGCCAGCACCACCGCCGTCGGCGCCTGCGCCGGCGCCAATGCCAACGCCTACACCAGCACCAACAGCAGCACCGACGCCAGCATGAACACCATCGCCTCTCACGCCAGCGCCAACGCCAGCACCGACGCTTCCGCTCGTGCGCACTACCAGCGGCACGCTGCGGTCCACCCCAGCACCCGCAGTCGCAGCCGCCAGGGCAGCCACATGACGCTTGGGACTCTCAACTGAGTCCTCTGAGGCGTAGCTTCTGCGTCGGGGTTGTCTGGGATATGATGGAAGGCTTCTACCGTTCGTCCCCTGGGTCCGTTTCTGTTCGCTTACAGATTCTGCCCTCAGGACTTGTGTTGAACATGCACAAGGGCATGCACGACTGGGATGACCAGCAGCACGACCGCCGTCGGCGCCTGCGCTGGCGCCAATGCCAACGCCTACACCAGCACCAACAGCAGCACCGACGCCAGCATGAACACCATCGCCTCTCACGCCAGCGCCAACGCCAGCACCGACGCTTCCGCTCGTGCGCACTCCAGCGGCACGCTGCGGTCCACCCCAGCACCCGCAGTCGCAGCCGCCAGGGCAGCCACATGACGCTTGGGACTCTCAACTGAGTCCTCTGAGGCGTAGCTTCTGCGTCGGGGTTGTCTGGGATATGATGGAAGGCTTCTACCGTTCGTCCCCTGGGTCCGTTTCTGTTCGCTTACAGATTCTGCCCTCAGGACTTGTGTTGAACATGCACAAGGGCATGCACGACTGGGATGACCAGCAGCACGACCGCCGTCGGCGCCTGCGCTGGCGCCAATGCCAACGCCTACACCAGCACCAACAGCAGCACCGACGCCAGCATGAACACCATCGCCTCTCACGCCAGCGCCAACGCCAGCACCGACGCTTCCGCTCGTGCGCACTCCAGCGGCACGCTGCGGTCCACCCCAGCACCCGCAGTCGCAGCCGCCAGGGCAGCCACATGACGCTTGGGACTCTCAACTGAGTCCTCTGAGGCGTAGCTTCTGCGTCGGGGTTGTCTGGGATATGATGGAAGGCTTCTACCGTTCGTCCCCTGGGTCCGTTTCTGTTCGCTTACAGATTCTGCCCTCAGGACTTGTGTTGAACATGCACAAGGGCATGCACGACTGGGATGACCAGCAGCACGACGTCGAGCTGCGGGCCGACAAGCCCAGTCGGTGAGCTGTGCGCCCTCGTATCGGCCACGCGGCCGGGATATGAAGACCCGCCGCCGTCTTTGAAGGCCTTCTCCTTCTCACTTCCCCCCCTCGCTCGCCGCCGACTTGTGGCATGCTCGAAGGACTGTCGTCTCTTGCACTTTCGTCGTGCTGAGCCTCCAGAGACTCTTCGCAAGCCTCCAAAAACCTCCTGCCTCATCCTCCCGCTAGTCCTCCTCTTCCTCCTCCTTCTCCTCCTCGTCCTCCTCCTCCTCCCTCGCCTTCTCCTTCTCCTCCGCCTCATCATCATCCTCATCCTCATCCTCTCCTCCTTTTTCTCCTCCAACTCTTTCCTCTTCCTCCTCCTCCTCCTCCTTCTAATCCTCCTCCTCCTCCTCCTTTTCCCCTTCCTCGGCTACCCACACGTTCTTGACGTGTGGCCGCGCTTCTGGAAACACATTTTGCGAGCTGCGGCCAGACCACCACGGTGGATCCGAGGCGCGCGGTCTTGGAAAACGTCCCCCCCCCCTCCGGAAAAAACTGGACCCCGGCAGGCGTGACCAGCACCCTGGCATCAGGCGGTCGCAGCCTGCCCTTGAGACCAGCAGGGTGACGAAGCAGCGAGCCCTCCGCCACGGCTTCGAATCCGCGTCGGACTCACGTCGAACGCGTCGACACGTCGAATCCACGTAGAATCTGCGGTGGATGCAACAACATGCTGCAATATTTTGCCGCAGGCCAGTGCCTCCCGACGATGCAACGGTGCAGCGAATGGCATGCGTGGCGTTCGCGAGGCCCGCAGTGATGTCCGCTTCTTCCTCCTCCGAACGAACGAACGAGCGTGGCGGGTGCCGCGTGTGCGGCAGGCGTTAGCACGAGACCAGCATGATGATGCGATTGGCCCAGGATGCTTTCTGAGAGTTCTAGGGTTCGCACCCAAATAAAAATCCATCTCGCATGCCGAAAGGAGGGTACGATTGGTCCGCTGTTGCCATCTATTGCTTCTGCATGATCATGTCGAACATCACTTCACACGTCGCCCCGCGGCGGCGCCGAAGCTGGCTGCATGCACCAAATTACGTCCGCCCCCCTTTCCCTATACCCTCGTTTCATCCGACCCGTTTTGCTCCTACGACCTCGTGGCCGCCCCCCGGGGGACTGGCCCACGGGGGGGGGGGAACATCAACCTGTAATCGGCGATACATCGCCGATATAACGGCGACGGGCTATCGGGCCCCTACCGGCGATCAATGGGCGATCGGGGGTCGATGCATCCCCCCTGAGCCTATCCCTCCTAGCGTTGCCCCTGATCGTAGCTGCCCTGATACGCAACACGCAACAAGTAGCGTATTAATACGGAGCTAAACACGTAGACTGAAGACGTAGATCTGACGCGGTATGATCGCCAAAAGGTGGGCCAATACCCAATACGTTGACCCACCCCGCCCCGTATCGACACAGACGTTTTGAGCACGGTACATGTTGCGTGACCGTATCGAGGCAGCAACAACACAAGCTCGACGACAAGAAACCTCACACAAGCAGGGTGTCTCTTGGCATGGGTTTCCACTGCAAACCCCTGATGCCCCTCCCCTCCCGTGGAAGCCTCCACCTCTCGGGGGGGTCGGCATCCCCCCGCTGGGCTCTCGGCGCCGCTGCTCGCCGCCCCCGCTGCCGGGGAGATCGGCCCGCCGCCAGCACCCGCACGCACGCGCCTCCCCTTGTTCGGGCAACGTCGCCCGACCAACGCACCGAGCCCAGGGCTCGGGATCTGTCGGGGAGGCGCAGGGCTCGGGTTCGGGGGGCTCGGGTCGGCCTGACGGGGCCATCATGGAAGTGACGAGGCCCAACCTGAAGCTTGACGCGAGCTCCCACTGCAAACATCCAACGAAAACCGGACCGTCAAAATCCGGGATGCGCTCTTCAAAAGATGTCGGCAAACTCGAGTTCTGGCTTACTCGAATCTTACGTTTCCCTGACGGTGGCGCAGGCGCCATGTGGCGCGCAAACAAGACCTCTAACCTGGACGCTCGAACCGCGCAGCGTCGGCCGTCTTGCTTTGGCTGTCTCTCGTGAGCTGGCTTGCCTGTTTGCTCTGAGATCCGAGCGGTGGATACACGTGTATGCGGGGCTACACCGCTATACGTGGAGCGTGGGCGGCGATACATCCCAGCCTTGGGATATACGGCCACCTGGCTTGTCCAGGGTGGCGCACGGTGTAGACACCGATCCTGGGTCCAACATTTTGGGCGGCCAGGATCGGTAAGGTGGTGAGGCAGATCACATCCGAGCGCCCTCTTGCCAACGCAACCTCGACAAGCACCGCACACACAGACATGCACGGCAACTTCGAGAGCCTCCGGCCGCCCGCTTCCCAGGACCGGCAGCAGAGGTGCGCCCGTGGCCCTCCTTCCCCTGGCTCTGTGCGGCAGGGCCTCCGCCACTGCGGGATGACCAGGAAGAGCTGGCAGACGGACGAGACCGTGTGCCAAACGAGCACGCACAGCTCCCACAGGAGCAAGACATGCTGGCACGTTGGGCATGAGAACGGATGGCAACTGGACAGCGAGCCTGGCCCCCAACGGACAAAGACGGACGCACTGCGCCCACTCCTTCCGCACCCGGTCTCGGCGCGCTGGACCCGCACGCTGCTGCCCCTCCCAGCGTCCCCCGGCGCCAGAGGCACCCGCGCAACGACAGAAGGGGCCTGGCGGCGCAGCTCGGACCAGCTGCACAGAGCAGACTTCGTGCCCCCCTCCCCCCTCCCCCCCTCTCCCCCAATCGGAAGACACCAACTATACACCTGCACCGACGTTGGCCAAGATCACCCGGAGCCCAGGATCCGTCTCTGCGCCCTGCTCACTCGGATCCTGGGCTCAGGATCGGCCTGGCCGGGATCGGCGCAGGTGTAAAGCTGGTGCCCTCGACCCAAAATCCCCCCCCCGTCCCCCGCGCGGAGCATATCTCGCGCCCTCCCCCCGTCCCCCCCCTGGTGGCCCGACGCGAGCAGCGCGGGCGTGCGCGGCGGGGGCCGCCCCGCCTCGCGCACCGCGTCGATTTCGGCGTCCAGGTCCCCGAAGATGATGTCGTGGTCCTGCACGGCCGCTGCCCCCCCTGACCCGACGGGCTCTTACGCTCGCTATGCTGGAGGCCGATCCTGGTCAAGAGGTTGGCGGATTAGCGAGTCGCGCCAACTGGCGGCACACAGCGCCAACGGGCTAGCGGCAGATATCGGCACACGCCCCGCACCAACCGTCCACCAATCCCCCCCTCTTCGCCGCTAAACGCACGGAGAAACGTAGGTGAAACCCAAGGCCTCCACAAAACAAGAGACTTAAGAGTTCGTTTTATTGTGAGAAACACCTGCTGCGTCTGAGCTGAGCCCCCTCGGCCACCAAACAGACCCCAAAGTGAGCCCCGGTTGGCGGCCACACGACCTCGATTCCGCGAGTCGAGCCCGCTCGGCGGTTCGCTCGGCGGCCGAGTGGGCTCCGATGCCAATTTGGCTTGCGGGAGGGGGCCCTGCCTTCGCCGCCAGTTCCAGACTCGCTTGGCAGACCGCCCCCGGGAAGGTACGTGATACTGGGGAGCCATGCCAAAAACGATCGCGCGTGGCAGTGCGCAGGTCCTGGCGACCTCTGTCGAACGACCCAAAAGGAGCACGAACTCGGGCTTGGGAACGCAGACGTGGCGCATCACGTCCTTTGTGATTTCCACGTGTGTTGACCATGGTGTTACGTGCACCCCGTCATAATTTTGATCGAGTAAACGGTGCAAACAATGCACATGACATGACGTTGAAATCCACCGACCCTCCTGTCGGCTTGAATGACAAGTCTGTCATGCCCTCGCAGAATCTGCCCACTCCATCCAATGTTCGACCCACTTCCACACAAACATACTCATCTAGTACAAGGGAAGCCTTCTCTATACCCCTTCCCCCCTGGGGTGTGTGCGTCCCCCCCCCCGAGTAGGGGGGGGGTCCTGGTGTGTGTGTGTGTGTGTGTATGTGATCCCCCCCCCCCTTCCCGAGTAACACGGAGGCCCATCCCTCCTCTCTCCTCCACCTCGCTCTCTCCCTTGCTAACAAACTTTCTCCTTCGTCGTCGTCGACACACCTCCCCACGTCGCTCTTCATTTCTACTCCCACCCCCAAGAGCGCCGCCACCAAGGCCTCAAGACGACAGAGATCATTGACGGAATTTAGCGTTTCGTCTGTTCGGTTTTCTAACGCTCCATAACGGCCATGTTATATAGTTTGCACAACGTTTGTACTAACCGGTCCGTTGGTATAAGCGATCTGTTAGTTCGTACCGAACATGTCTTTAAAAAGGTGACAAGGGTAACTGTTACCGGCCTGGTTGGGATGGTACGATCCGATATTTGAAATGAGCGATCGGGCAACACAAATGAAAACGCGACAGGCGGAGGGGTAGCGAGACGTCCGAGCTCGGGCGGGGCATGGATCCGGTTACTCTGGTGAGAAAAGTTACGCTGTGCAAGCTACGGGCGTGCCCACGGGGAGCCCACGAGGCGCCCACGGGCGGGCCTCAGGCGAAACTTCGGCATACCTCCCCAGCGCGGGGCGCCCACGAGACGCTTACCGGCGGGCGCCAAGCGAAAACCTCGGCATACCTCTTCACCACGGGGCAGGGGGGACCAGCAGTGGCTATGCTTTACGAAGGTCCAGCAACAACAGCAACATCGAGATCCACACCGAGGAACCCCACTTCAGCCACCACACGCCCAGGGACGGTGTATGATCGTCCGGCTCCCCCGCCCATGTGCGTGGCAACTTGAGCTCAGCCAGAACACTGCCGCAAGAACCTCACAACGAGGAATAAAGGGTGTGCTACGGGCTCATGGGGTACGCACACGTAACCTCCATCTCCGACTCCACCCCGTCCTGCCGATGCTCATCATTACCCCTCCTGTCCCCGACAGCGATTGGCAGCATGAAAGACGCGGATACTGAGGGAACTGGGTTCTGGACCCCAAGGCCCTCTGCCGTGATCAACGCCTCGTTCTGCATCGTTTATTGATAGTGCGGGCGTCCGGGGAGGACCCCGAGGGCCCGTGAACAATGAACAACCTTAAGACCGGCTTGCTCAGGACACATTGGCCTCATGGCGAAGCGTGGGGGTCATGAAAGGGGGTGCGGCGGCGGCAGGAAGGAGGATGGCAAAGATGCAGACGAAGACGCAGCCGAAGACGCAGCCGAAGACGCAGACGACGACAACGACGGAGGAGCACGGAGACGAGGGGCCAGTCCGCGAAGCCGATCCACTCGTGCCTGCTGGTGAGCTCAGGGAAGAGCGTGGGCCACATGGGCCTGCCGCGCGCGGGGGGGGTCGGAACGTTGGGGCTGCTACTAGAAGGACGGCCGCATGCGGACAAAAGAAGCCATCTTTGGGCCCCAGAATCGCCCGAGTGCAGGGGGAAAGCTGGAGGAACAGCCATGGAGAGCCTTACAGTCGAGCTTGATTGGAGAGCGCAATGGAGAGGACGAGGGCGATATTCATGGGCGACGAAACAAAGGACGCACGGGTTCCCTTGCTTTGGCAAGCTCGACCTGCTGATCAAACTCGATTCCACAGGCAGATACGGGCAGAACCTGGTTTTGAACCCCAAAGAGCCTGGTGGCACGGGGAACGCTGGAGGAACAACCATGGAGACCCCAAAGAAGCAGCGAGCCCGTTCCAGACACGGACCGTTCTTTGCAGTCAAAACTGAAAGTAAGGATGCACGAGAAAGATGCAAGGGGCCTTGCAAGGCCATGCCGACACTTTCCAAGCGGAGCGCGGCCAACGAAAATGGCCAATGATGGTCCAGGGGGGGAAGTGAGAAGGGGGCGGACCCTCCCAGAAGGCTCGGAAGTCCCCCGGCCTTCTGAAACGCTTTCTAAATCTCCCCCAGAGACACAGAAAACCTCAGCCTTCTGAGAAGCCCCGCCGCCTCCTGAGAAGGCATTATCCTTCTCACTTCTCCCTCTCGCTCGCCGCCAAAAGCATGCGAAAGAACTCTTGGAAAGTCGCTCGTCTTCACCATCAGCGGCTTCTCATGTCGGCGTCTTGGCTGTGCCCTGCTCCTCCCCTGCCCAGGGAGGCCCGCTGAGGCGGCCTCCGCAGGCGCTGGGCGGTCCAAAAGCGCCCAAAAGACGGCCCAAGGAGCCCCCACTGGGCCACGAGAGGGCTCCAAGAGGGCCGAATCTCCCCCTAAGAGGCAAAAGCCCTCCCCCCGCCCCAAGGGAGGCTCCAAGAAGGGAGGGGCCAAGAAGGGATGAGGGACATGAAGGGAAGACGACGACGAAGACGAGGTGAGACACTGCACTCCGACAAGATACGAAACAGCGTGACACATTGTACGTCGTTGTTTTTTGTCGTTTCTCTCCCTCTTTCTCTCTCTCCCCTCTCAAGTAAGGGACGATATGGTTCACCTCTTGGTCCTCCCCACCCTTCTGTCTTTTCACCCTTCACAAGTACACACTACAAATATTAATTCGCTCTCCCCCATAGACGGCGGTGAGGTGTCCTGGCCTCCTCTGCGCAGTGTTTTTACAAACAAAACGCCACCGAATTGATACGTGATAAGTTTTCCCAATCTGTTCCTTGTCACTTCTTTACGAATGGCGCTCCCGCTGCAGCGTTTGCTCCTTTTTCCTCTCTCAGGCCTTCCAAGTTAGAAATATTCCCGCTGTAGCGCTGACCTCTTTTCATTGCTTTGGCTCTTCCAAATCGCGTTCCTGCGGCAGCATTGGCTTCGTTTCGGCGCTTCCAGTCCCCCCGATTCGTGTTCCCACTGCAGCGCTGGTCTCATTTTCGCCGGTCCCGTCCTTTGAAATTGTGCTCCCGCTGCAACGCTGATCTCATCTTGCGCTCGCCGCTTTCCAAACCGTCCATTTGCATGTCCTGTCCTATGTCGCTGATGGTTCTTTTCTGACCTTGTTGTCGGAATGATCATTGCCCTGTTCGGCATCCGACTGTGCGAATACAGAGAAGATCTACGCATTTTTGAAGGATGGAAGTGAAGATTAGGACGTCAGATATGACTGTTGCGCACCTAGCTTGTCCTCCCCCCTCCCTTCTCCACCTGCTTCTGGGGGCGACAAGTGTCACATGCGACGGCTAGATTCCTCCTTTGTCCTGCTGGCCATACGCTGCTGTTCGATATGCATTATGATCTTCATCCTTCTCCATTTCCTCCTCCTCCTCCTCGCCCTCTTCCCCCTCCTCCTCCTCCTCCTCCTCCTCCTCCTCCTCCTCCTCCTCCTCATCCTCGTCCTCCTGCTAGGGACGACAAGTGTAACATGACGACCTTCCAGCTCCCCCTCCTCCTCCTCCTCCTCCTTCTCCTCCTCTTCCTCCACCACTCCTCCTCATCTTCCTCGTCGTCGTCGTTGATACGACAAGCCTAACTCTAACATGGACGGCCTTCCTCGTCCAGCGCACGCTCCTACTTACTAGCTCTCCTTCTTCTCCTCCTCCTCCTCATCATCATCATGAGCATAAGTACCACCATCATCATCATCATCATCATCATCATCATCATCAGCATCATCATCATCAGCATCAGTATCAACACCAACACCAACACCATCAGCATCACCTCCACCACCACCATCATCACCATCATCATCAGCATCAGCATCATTATCATCATCAACATCATCAGCATCAGTATCAACACCAGCACCAACATCAACATCACCATCATTATCGTCATCAACATGCCCATCCTCATCCTCAGTCTCATCCTCATCCTCATGATCATCCTCATCCTCATCCTCACCATCATCACCATCATCATCACCATCATCATCATTATCATCACCCTCATCATCATCACCATCATCAGCCTAGTTATTCACCTCTCCTCCTCCTCCTCCTCCTCCTCCTCCTCCATGTTCTTCCTCCTCACTCTCCCAAGGGCGACAAGTGGCCCCTTCTGGGTGGTGCCGGAGGGTCACCACGCAGAGTGCTGTGCTGACTAAGGTGGCGGGACATGCCGCAAGCAGCGCCCAAGATCATTCAGCATCGAATTGGGAAATACGATCGGATCGGAATGTGCATCGGGTCGGGCTGCACTGGCACGGAATCAACTTTGAACCGGATCGGCGACGCCTGGCCTGAATGCGGCTGCGCCAGCTCGTGTGAATGTCGACATCGATTCGGGATCGAACTTACCAGAGCCGATCTCGAACGGGAGCGATCGGACCGACATGGCCTTCGGCACCCTGAGACCTCTCCCTCGGTGCGCATCATGGTCGGAGTTCCAGGGCGGAAGCCCGCCGGTGGCCACGACGGGGCGGCCGCCGCGCGGAACAAGTGGCCGGCGCCGCGCATCAGCGAGCGAGCGAGGGTGGGTCGGAGCACGGGAGGGGGGGCCACGGGATGGTGCAGGCCTGCCTGCCAGCGCTCACCGTAGAGGAGGAGGGCCTGGGCAAGTGGCCGTGTGGTGGTGCCCCTGCAAGGAAAAGCACGTGCTGACCAGGTCGGCGCTGACCCAGGCCAACCTGGGCCCCAGCCGGCCGCTCAACAGCTGCCAGAAAGCATGGGTCGTTGGAGGGTGGGATCGGCCCCGCGTGGCTCCCAGCCCACACGCGGGTCAGCCAGAGGGGAGTTGCCCAACCCCGTCTGGCGACCTACCTCACCACCGCAACCCAGCCCGAAGACCAAAATTTCGGGCCGGGGGGGACCACTTCCACAAGTGTTTTTTTAGTGTTCCACGACGACCCCCACCCCCACCCTACCAGGGATGGAGGGCAAATTGGGGCCTTCGGGTTGGGTTGGGGTGGCTTGGTGGGTGGTGTTCGTCGGCGCTGACCCCCGCGACGTGCGCCCCGAGGCGCAGCAAGTCCGACCTCCAACCTTCGACCTCTGCCCTCCGCACCCTCCGCGAGGCAGGTTCTGCGAAGTGGCCGCCGCCGCGGCCGCAATATAGCCAGACCCCGGACATCAGCACATCCTCCAAAAGCATGAAACCCTCCGCCGGCCAAGGCGCACAGAACAGCCAAGGGCACCCGACAATAACGAAAAACATTGGGGTACCCTCCCCGAACTGATCTCGATCTGATACTTCGGGCCGGCCGTACTGGCCGCCGCCGTTGCCGCGACCGTCATGGCGGTCGCTGTCGAGGCCGCGGCGGCGGTTTCGTCGGCGGTCGCGGCCGCGCCGCGACGGCACCTGCGGCGCGGAAGGCTCGGAAGGTGGACGTCGAGGGGGACGCGTGCAGCGCGCGCCCGGCATAGTGGGGGGGCACTGCAGGCCGACCGCGGGCATGGCCAGGGAGGCCACGCGCGCGGCGGCGGCGGCGGAGGGCGGCGGGGTGCGCTGCTACTGTTTTTCCCCATACGTCCTGTGGCGTTGTGCCCTCGTTTTGAAGAGACGGCCCCCGCGTTCCTCCTTCCTCCCTCCTCCCCCTCCCCCTCCCCCCCTTCCGCCTTGCGTTTCACCCACCCAATACAGCGCTTCGTGGCCTCATAGGGAAGTCGACCGAATGCCCCGGTGGCAAGTCTCGCAGGGCGGCCCCGGGCCATTTCGGCGCACCCCTCAGGGGGACTGTGGCCACCTAGGGAAATCCACCGAAGGCCCCAACGGCAGGGTTCGCATGGCGGCCTCGGGCCATTTTTGGCACACCCTTCGCGAGGACCGTGGCCCCATAGGGGCTCCACCAAAGGTGCCGCTAGATGGGTTCGCACGGCGGCCTCGGGCCATTCCGGCACACCCCTCACGAGGATCGTGGTCCCATAGGAGCGCCAACGAAGGCGGCAGTAGCGAGGACCGTGGCCCCATGAAGCATTGCGGCGCACCCTCCGCGCACCCTCCGCGCACCCTCGCCTCGGGTCATTGCGGCGCACCCTCCGCGAGGATCGTGGCCCCGTGAGGGGACTCTACCAAATCCCCCCAGTGGCAGGATTCGCATGGCGGCCCTCGCATTTCGGCGCACCCCTCGCGAGGATCGTGGCCTCGTAGGGAGATCAGCCGAAGGCCCCAATGGCAGGGTTCGCGCGGCGGTCCCGGGACATTTCGGCACACCCTTCACGAGCACCGTGGCCCCATATGAGCTCCACCGAAGGCGCCAGGTGGCAGGGTTCGCATGGCGGTTTTGGGCCATGTCGGCACTCCCCTCACGAGGATCGTTGCCGCATAGTTGTGTTGCTTCAACAACCGCGCCTGGGCATCGTACTCCACCGTGTCGACGCGCAACGCCACCTCCTCCCTAGTGGCTCTCAGAGCCATTTCCTGCTTCTGCTCCTGGGTCAGAGGGACGCCGTCCTCGTCGTCGTCGTCGGCGCCCGCGAAGACGGCCATAAACGTGGCCCTGAGCATGTCGGGTTCCGGCGGGAAGCCGTGGCCACGTAGGGGGCGCGGGCGAATATGGTATTCACAACTGCGGTATTCACGACTGCATATGGTTGGGTCCTTCGCCAAGCTAATTGTTTCGCTCCTCCCTCCCTCCTTTTGGGCGGGTGGTCATGGGGGATGACTTGCATGGGGGGTAAAGGAAAGGGCCCTAAAAGGGGCCCTGTAGGGATCCCCTGCGAGCTAGCAGGGGTTCACAAGGGGGCCAACCAGGGCCCATGAGGGCCCAGTTCTTCAGACAAATGTACGTCACCCCCCCATTAACGCCCGCCCGATCCCCCGCTCTCCCGTCCGCTCCCCGAAACGCCCGCGTTCTGCCACCCGTCTGGCGACAGGGCCACCTCGGGCGCTCGAGCTGTCCGCCCCGAGGCACGCCTTGTCCGCGCGTGCGTCGTCCGCCGCCGATTCGTCCCCCTTGCTGCGTCCAGCGGACTTCAAGATCTGAGCTTGCAACTTTCCTGGGAAAAGCAATGCAATCAACGTGCACCGACTAATTATCCGACTTCGGCGCAGAGCGAACAAAGTAAGCATGACGAGCGTAGAGCGGAAAATGGACGCCAGAGGTACAGGAACAAGTCAAGCTCGAAAGGGCACAGAGGAATTAAATGCTCACCCAGTTGTGGAGGAGGTGATGGAGGCGACGGCGATCCACACGCGTCGCATGCAATGTACGAAGGAAGCAACGAGGAGTAAGGGGGTCCTCCTCCTCCTCCTCCTCCTCCTCCTCCTCCTCCCTTCTCTTCGCCTCCTCGTCTTGGCCAGAGGCCATAGGTATCCCCTTGCAGGGCCCCAGTAGATGCTCGTGCGACCCCCATTGTGGTCCACGAGCTCCACGCCCACCGATGCTCACGGGTGTTTGGTGCTTCTGACCGTCGCTCCCGGTGAGCCGCACTCCAGCGGGCCATTTGCACTGCTCTGATGCTGCTGCTGTTCCAACTGGTCCTCCTCCACTCCTTCTCCTTCTGACTACCCCCACCCCCCCCCTGTCGCACCTCGAGGCCAGTCGGAAGGGCAGGCTGGGCGTTTTGCATGAGATTACTGTACCATTCGCAAGCCTCAGGCTCAAACGCTGGCAGCAACTTCACAGATCGAGGCTCTCGCCTGTGCCGCGCGCATTCGTTTCAAAACGTTGCAGGAGCTTCATGGATTGAAGGCGGGTTGATTTCAAAATGTGGCTCTCGCCTTAGCGCCGCGCAAATTCATCTCAAAACTTTGCTGCAAGAGTTTCGCAGATTGAAGGCTATTCGTCTCAAACATGTGGCTCCCGCCTTTGCGCCGCGCCCGTTCGACTTTACGCATTGCAGAGCTTCACGGGTTGAGGGCGGTTTCTTTTCAACATGTGGCTCTCGTCTTAGTTCCGTGCACATTCGTTGTCGAGATGTGCACACGTTTCTCTGCTTCTCATGGTTAACGTACCAGAGGCTGTGTTTTGGACCGATTCAGGATTGCCGGGGCTTATCAGTTACGTTGCTTCGCGGGCCTGAATTCCCAGGAATGGTGTTCTGGCACGATTCAGGATCTTCAAGACGCAACAGTCAGATTGACTCGTGGCCTTGAAGTGATAAGAATGGTGTTTTGGCGCGCTTCAGGATCTTCGAACGGTTGTCTCCCAACTCGGCGCTTCCCCTTGGAAATGAATTCTAGTATGGTCTTATGAAGAGGGAGCCTGGAGGGAGGGTATACTCCAACATCGTTGAGTCTTGGGTTTGCACTGGTCCTCTTCCTCCTCCTCCTTCCTTTCGCACTCGGCTGCCGCACGAGCCTTCAACAAATGAAGGCCGTTGCGGCTGCGCCTGCTGGGACGGCAGCGTTCCAGCGTGGACGGGGGTGAGGTCAGGCTACAGCCTGAGCCCCCTGGCGAAAAACCTGGGCGGAGCGGCGGGGGCCTCGGTTTCCCGCCCTCCCGCGCATCGGGGCTGGGCCTCGATGCGCGCCGGTCGCTCCCAGAGCGCGCTCCAGGAACGGCGGGGCCCTGGCCATTTAGCCAGCGGGCCTGAGCATGCAGCTCTGGGGGGCGAGGATCGCCCACCCATGGAGCACAGCACCAACAAGAATCCCCCTTCTCCTCCTCCTTTTCTTGCGCAGGCCGCTGGGAGCTCCGCCCGTGGCGTAAGTCCTCCTCCTCCTCCTCCCTCTACTTCTCCTCTCTTTCCCGATGCGCCAAAGGCCCCGTGCCCCTCCTTCTCGTAGCGCCTCGGCATCGGCAGATGACGCGAGGATGTCATGCTGGTGTGGACGCCGCAGGTGGCCCTTGTGACGTACACGTAGGCCCAAACCGATGTGAACTGCATCAGTGAGGCGGCCGAGAAGGTACGTTTCGTGCGAGTGGCGTTTGCAACTTTCGTGCACGCTTGCGCCGCTGAGATGCACCTCGCGCAGCGTCCACCCGCTTGGGGCTTGCGGGCAGTCCCGACTGCTCACCCTTTTTGCCCGACGTTGCACTGCGCCGAACGCAACGGCGGCGTGCTCTATAGACGAACCCACCCCCGTAACGACACCCAATGTGTCTATGGACGCTCGTGGCTTGAAAGTGAGAGCGGCATTTTGCATATGCCCCAGATAATTGTCTCGTAGAGGCAGGTAGACGCTGCCCTCCAACTCTGCCCGCCCCACTGCCCCGCAACAGCCGCAGGTTGAGGGCGGGCGGGGGCCAGGGAGATGGGCTGGGGGTCTGTCTTGTCATCGGGTCGTGCTCTGCACCAGAGCGGGCCGCCAAGGGCAGTCCCTCGAGGCGATCCTTCGGGGTGTCTCTCGCCGCCCCTGCTGCGCTGGAACGCCAGCCCTTCGTGGTGGTGGCACTTGCCGCGAGGCGGACGCCCTGGCCGCGACCTGACGCCTGCGCCGTCGGCATACGGCGTCCCGCTGAACGCGGCCGACAGTGCCCGACACGGCCACGGGATCCTGGCTCTGGCTGGCTTGCGGTCTGCTCCGACATGGGCGATAGAGGTTGGTGATCGAGCCAGAAGCCCCGACCGAGGCACGCCTCTGGAGGACGCGCTGGCATGCCCAGGCAGTCCATCTCCGGCGACACGCGTGGTGCGGTTCACCGTGGAAGGGGCGGAGCGCCGCCGAGAGAAGGCGGCCGAGCGGCGCTGCCAGTGGCGGCTTCAGGCGGCTGCTCAGGCGGCGCGCGGACGCCGTGCATCGCGGTGGACGAGCGCAGCGATGACTCCGAGCAGCAGCACAGGGGTGTAGCGGAGGACGCGGTCGCCGCGACGGCCCAGGCCGTCTGGGCCGCGCGGCCGCTCCTGGCGGAGGCAGAGCCGCTCGACGACGAAGCGGAGTCGGACAGGGCTGCCATGGAGGCGGCATCGGAGGTTGGCGCGGCGGCTGATGCGCCACCAGTCTCCGAAAGGAAGCGCAAGGGCAAGAAGACATGGGCAGGGGCGTTCGCGTAGAACAGCACCCATTGATGACGACGCGGTGCTGGACAAGACGCTCAGGGCGGCGGCTTGCGGCGGCGGCGGTGTCTGCAACAGTGGCCGCGCGGACCACCTCGCCGACGGAGCCCCACCAAGCGGCCTCAATGGTGGCAGCAGAGCGGCCAGTGGCGCCTGCGGTCTACGTTCGAGGCCGCGTGCGCGGTCAACGACGGCGCCCAGGAGGACCACGACGATGCAGCGGCCGCTATGCGGCTGAGCTCGAGGGGAGCCTCGCTGCCGAACGTGCGGCACGTCAGGCCGGACGAAGGCGCGGTTGGTTCGCACCATACCCTGCTCGGGAGCTCTGCGGGGCATACCTGGGGGAGCGGCGCGGAGCCACCTGGCAGCGAGGCCCGCCCCACATCCTGTCAGGGCGCCCCGCCAGGAAAACCTGTGGAAGGGGCCCGAGGTGCCAGAGAGCGGCGGCGCTGGCCAACCTCTTCGGCGACGGCGGCATCTTCGAACTCTCTACCGTCGTCTGGCCAAATCACTCCACTCCACTCCTCTCCACTCCACTCCACTCCACTCCACTCCACTCCATTCCACTTCTCCCCGCTTCGCTGAAAACCTGCGGCCGCAGCCGTTGACCCCATCTTTCTGCGCACCTCTCGGTCTGGGCCCCCATGAGGGCCTCCGCGCTCGGAAGCGGGGCGAATGCGCCCCTCGTGAGGTCTACACGGCGCCCGGGTCTGAGGAGCGGGGCGGCGGAGGGGGGGTGGCGCTTGAGGTCGCACAGCTTCGCGGGGTACAGGTGGGCCATGTCCTTCGTGGCGTGGTGGTCCCCGCCCGCGCGCGGAGGTATCCCCTGGCAGGCCTCATGGCCTCCCCACGTCCTCAACCCCGGGCAAGATCAATCAACACCGCACCTGGAGATCAGATCAAATCGGAATCTGCCTCGGAGCGACACGGAATCGAGATCGAATCGGATCGACCGCGCCAGGATGCACAACAACGCTACGTCAGAAAATGGCCACATCGGATCGTCGAAACATCGGCATCGATTTGGCCCGATCGGGCACATCGAATCGCATCGATCTGATTGAAACGGGACCTTCCTGGCGCGGCCAACTCCAAAGCCTGGCGAGACCGGGCAACAGGCGCGCATGCACGGAGAGGCGGTGAGCGCCTGAGAGCATCGCCACATCGTAGAGCGCTGTAACCCTGGCCGTTCGAACATAACACAAAAATTAGGACGACGCAACAACCACATTACCCCCCCCCCCACACACACACAAAAACACAAACACAAACACAAACACAAACACAAACACACACACACCCACACACACAAACACAAACACACACACACACACACACACAAACACACACACACACACCGCAGGCGCGAATAAAGAGTGACGGGCCAAGCGGGGCTCGAACGTGCACCGCGAGAGCCGCTTGTTTTGTACTGTTTCACACGAGGTCAAGTTCACTATCGGCCTCGACCTGGCAACAATTCGGGGGGGCCCATCGATGGAAACTGGGGTCTGCCAGGGTGTGGGTGTCGTCCTGGTGGAGAGGCCTCCGCAACCATCAAGACTGCAATCAAGTCTGTCGTCGTTTTGACATCCCCGAGGATGCGGTCCCAGGCATGGGGTAGGCATGTCCAGGGACCCACGTTGTGAACATGCTGCAGCGTCGGAGGTGTGGGCCTTCCGTCCCTCCGTGGATGTCAATGTCGGAGCTGCTCAGAACTCTGGCCAGTCTTTTAGATAGAACGAGGTGCTGGAACACTTTCTCAGACGGGAAGGGGCAGGGCGGAAACACATTAGAAACACTCTCGGCGGTTTGTGTGTATCGGGCGTTCTTGCGAGGTCGCTTCTTATGAGAGAGCGCGTATCACGGGCGCTTGCCTTGGGAACAATCGGCGGCGCGTTTCGAAACGGGGGGCGCCCCCCCCCCCAACACTCGGCGCCGTCGATCAAAACCAGGGGGACTCCCGAACCCCCCCCCTCCCAAGGAAAGAGGGGGGGGTTCACGGGTTCAACCGCCCCCATCGCCGGCGCCGCCAGCGCCGGCGCTGGCGGCCGCCAGCAGCGCCGACGGCGGGGACGCAGCGACGATGACCAGAGGCAGACCACGGGGTTCCAAACACCACCCCCACCCATCGGCGCCGGCGCCGGCGTCGACGCTGGCGGCGGCCAGCAGCGCCGACGGCGGGGACGCATCGACGATGACCAGAGGCAGCCCAGGGCCCAAGGGGGGGGGGACGTTTCACCCCCCCCCCCCTGGCGCCGGCGCCGGCGCCGGCGCTGGCGGCTGCCAGAAGCGCCGGCGCTGGCGGGGCGACGGCGGGGACGCAGCGACGATTACCACCACTACCACCACCACCACCACTACCACCACCACCACCTCAACCCACCACCACCACCAACCCACCAGAACATCCACCACCACCACAGCCACCACCACCACAACCACCACCACCACAAAAAAACCACCACCACTACCACCACCACCACAACCACCACCACTACCAGCAGAAAAACCCAACGCCAACACCACAAATCACCACATCACCACCACCACCGCCACCACCACCACAACAAACGTCCACAAACCACCGCCACCACCACCACAGCCACCACCACCACAAAAACCCACCACCACTACCACCACCACCACAATCTACCACACCACCACCACCACCACCACCACCGCCACAACCACCACCACCACTACCAGCAGCACAACCCACCACCACCACAAACCACCACACCACTACCATCACCCCCAGCACCACGTCCACAAACCAGCGCCACCACCACAACCCACCACCACCACCACCACCACCACCACCACCACCAACACCACCACCACCACTACCACCACAACACCACCACCAAGCCACCACTTCCACCTCAACCCACCGCAACAACCACCACAACCACCACCACCACACCAAACCACCACCACCACTCACCACCACAACCACCACCACCACAACAAACCACCACATCACCACCACCACAACCACCACCACCGCCACCACCACCACCACAACCCACCACCACCACCACCACCACCACCACCACCGTCGTCATTGTCGACGCTCACCGCCGCCGCCGGCCGCTGGCGCCGGCGCCGGCCTAGAAAAGGAAGTCGTCGTCCCCACCGCCGCCGCCATCCGCCGCCGACGCAGGCGCCAGCCCGAGTAGGGGAGGAACGGGGGGGGGAAGTTCGAACCCCCCCCCGTCATGGGAAGGGAGGGGGGTCCGGTTCCAACCGCCCCCTCCAAGCGACCACAGAACGCGCTCTTTCCTTCTGATAGATCCAATGTGGAGTAGCCGCCCACCCGTCACACCATACCTAAGGAACGTGTGGATTTAGCTCCGCCTAGCGCAGATCTGCACTCGTCGAGTAGGCCTATGATGCGATCCAACCTGTCATGGTGCCTGCGGGAAAAGTGCGATTGGCGAGAGGACAAGGAGGGGAAGGGGGCGCAGGGAAACACATGGAGACGAAGGGGCAGGTGAAGTAGGGAGCGGGGTGGTGGTGCTGAGGCCACTTGTTATATGCATCCTTGTCAAGTGGACGGGGAGACCCCCGACAGATGGGCGTCGATCCCGGCCCCGGCGGCCCTGCTGAAAATTCTCGACGATCTTAATCGTACAAAAGATCCTCCTCACGGATTGCCCATTGCGACTCGGCGTTTGGAGAATGTTATCACCGTGATGGCTCTGGACATCGAGAATGCACGACATTGCAAGAGGGCACATGCTGGTTCGAGGAAGTAGCCGTGCTATGTGAAGGCAGCGCGTCTGCCCCAAGTGAACGGTGTCAACGCCATTGGCCAGATGAGGCCACCACGGAACCCGAAACACGCATGGCTGAACTCACAGCCATTTCTCACCCTGGCCAGCCGCAGCATGTGCATTCAGGTTGCGAGGAGCCTCAAGACACAGGTTGCGCTTCACCCTCGCGCTGAGCACGCCGTCGACGTCGCTATACTTCGCAGTTCGTTGCTCAGCTGAGAAGGGGGCGAAGGAGGCTGAAGGGAGTCGGTGATATATCGCCGATAGATCGGCGATAGCCGGTAGGCCTCCAATGGCGAACTCGCACGTTCCTCTGCACGGTGGGGCTGAGGTTCTATCATGTCCGCCCAGTGCGAACTCCACCCGTGCGTTCCACAAGGCTGTGAGAGCGGCCATTCAGGGTGGAAGCGTCCTGGGTGTTCACTCCCAGCAGCGTCTGGATACGCGTCTTCGCGAAGCGAAGGTCGAACGGCAGCCACGCGCAGTTCGCGCAGGTGTCCAGCTCCTCGAATTTCGGGCCGATGAAATAAAACGTTGTACCTCCCCTCTCCCACCGATTTAGAAGAAAAGCAACGGCATCAACATGAATCTTCGACGGTCCGAACGGATTCCTTGGATCTTCGCGAGCCCCCCTTCCCTGGAACGCGGAGCGCGCCACATGCGGCGCCTGAGTCGCCGCCAGGGGTGGCTAGCGCAGATCCAAGGAATCCACGAGGACCGTCCAAAGTCTGGTCTTGGCATCTGGTTCTTCTTCGACGACTGTGGGGGAGAACCCGATAATCGAGAGATGCGGCGAGGACTTCTCTGAGGGCCCAGCTCCGTATTTCGGACAAGAGCACGACCCACGGCGCGTCGAGCGTGCTCCTGACGACTGGACGTCAAAAGGTCCAGTCATCCCCCCGAGCCGCTCTTCAAATGCGGGGGGGTACGTCGAAGCCACGAGCGGAGAACATGTCCGTATCCGCGCCCACGCGATCTGGATTCTGGGGCGCCATCCCGCGGATACGCGGTCACATGGATACGTTCCGTGCGGGGCATCCGCGAACAAAAACGCCCCGCATCCGCGGGGTCGTGGCCCAGGGGCCCGGCCCGCGAGGCCGCGGATACGGATGTTTTCGCCCACGACAGATGCCAGAGCATTTAAATGAGAGCCACTGTGAGCGGCACCTTGGGACGTATGACGGCCCGACAATATTCTACAGTCTGCCCTGCTGCGCGGCAACGCCTAAGCCCCGGAAATTCTCCCCTCCGGGGGGCGCTCCTTCCCTCCTTTGGGTAAGCTCTTCAAACGACGTCAACCCGTCGAAGGGTCCCTTCTCACACGCACAAGCACAAAGTCCGATCGAGCGCCCTAGGATGTCTCGTCCCGCTTGCGGGAACGGCGTGATTCATGCATGGAAGAAGAAAACGTGCATCGGATAGATGCAAAAAGTTAAAGGATAGATGCAAAAAGTTAAAGACACCCCTCGCGGATTGCTACACACAGCCTCGCATGTATGACAAGTGCTGACACAGAAAATCCTGCACGAACCTGCCGGGGGAATTCTGCAAAATCCGCTCCAAACTGGTGTTGAAGCGATCCCGAAGGCAAGATACGGGAACAGGAGGAGAAAACGACTGGCAACAGCGGAAGAAATACCATCGCTCCATAATGTGATTTGTCATGGGTCTGTGCGCATCATGGAATTTGGCAGGGATCAGCGGAGTCCATAAAAGAAAGGGTCCCCCAATTTTGGTATGAGCACATCTGCAAAATGAACGGCGATGCGAGATACGACGCAATGTGCAATGTCCCACGGGGTGGGGATAATCGTGGCTTTGGGGGGTGGTAGAGCTATCTGTGGTGCTAGCGATGTGGTGCAACGCGTGTGGTGCAATCTGCGTGGCGCAATCTATGTGGCGCAATTCGCCTGCCGAACTTGAGATTGCCAATCCCACTGCTCACGCAATCCTCCCACCCACCCACCCGCAACCTCTTTTGCAAAACCCATGCGGCGGCGACTCCGATGGCTGTTTGGCGCTGGTTGGCACATCGCTGCGGCCGCGACAGCGTGCGCAAGCTCGCGCGCGGAGCGGCCGGCTACGTAGCCTGGCGCGCCCCATGCGGCCGTGGTGGCCGTGACCGCTGGGCAGCCCCCTGCGCGTCTCGCAGGCCGCGCTGGCGCGCATTCACTTCAATGCAAATCGGTGGCCTGGGCGGGCGCAGAGCCATGACGACATCGACAACGGCAGACACGATGATGATAGTAACGATGATGGTGGCGATGATGGCCACGACGGCGGCAAAGCCAATGACGGCGCCGATGCTGACCACGCTGACGACGATGATAGTGTCTACATGACAGTGATGAAGGCTTTGGAATGTCTTCGACATGCGCGCGCGGCCGATGCACGCGAGCGCCCTGCATTTTGTCATTTGACAAGGGTCGTGCCCCCCAGCGCGCGCGAAAAGGCATGCGAATGATTTCGACATGCGCGCACGAGGGGTCGGCTTGGTAGCATTGGATAGAACTCTTGAGCAACCTGTGGATTTCTGAATAATTCGCAAGAGTACGCGCGGAGAATTGTTTCTATTCTGTTGTCTAGAAGATGTTGCGATGCGACCGGGCTATTCCCAACCATCCTGTGGTGTTAGGTCTTCGTTTTGAAGAGAAAGCGCCCCACGGGCCACATCCTCTCCTCTCCTCCTCCTCCCCCTCCACCCTCATCCCCCCCTTCCTCCCATCATCATCCCATCATCTCATCGTCCACATCATTATTATCAGCATCATCATCATCAGCATCATCATCATCATCATCAGCAGCACCAGCATCAGCATCATCATTATCATTCTCACCATCATTTCACCATCACCACCATCACCAACACCGTCACCACCATCTCAATAGTATCATCATTGTCATCATCATCATCATCCTCATCCTCCTCATCATTATCATCCTCATCAGAATCATCATCACCATCATTCTTAACATCAGCATCATCACCATCAACATCACCATCGTCATAATCGGAAAAAACATCATCGCCGTCATCATCGTCATCATCACCATCGCCGTTATCGTCACCATCATCGTCACTCCTGTCGGCTATACGAGTCTGGGTGAGTGAGTGAGTGAGTGAGTGAGTGAGCGACTGTGTCTGACTGTGATTGAGTCTGGGTGTGCTGAATACGATAACGACTGAGTCTGAGTATTTGTAAGTCTGACTGTGAAGGAGTCTGAGTGGGTGAGTACATGTACGAGTGAGTCTGAGTGCGAATGAGTCTGAGCACGAGTGAGTGTGTGGGTGAGGCCTTCTAGTCGAATACGTTCTCGGAGCCGTCTAAGAAATTCGTCGGCGCGGGAATACCCATATGTGCATCTCATACTCATGTCACGCTTCGCTACAGGGCTCTGTCCATGAGTATCTTGGAGTGAGAGCGAGCCCGCGTAGACGACAGGCGCGACAACGAAGACGACGACAGCGACGACTTCAGTGACGTCTTCCACCTCCTCTGGACATCTTGCGGGAGAGACGGAGACAACACGTGGAAGAGCGAGGGGGTGTTCCTGTCGCCGTTCTCCCGGTGACAACTCGGGCAAACGCGCATTGCGTTTCTACGCCCGCTATCTGGCGTGCTACTCGCGGCACCTGCTGGCAATTAGGGTGCCCAGGTGCCACTTAGTACGAGAGAATCTGAGCGTGGGCGACCGGAGTGTGGGCGAGTCGGAGTGTGAGCGGATCTGGATATGATTGGGCCTGAATGTGATAGCCGGTGTGAGTACAAGTGGGTCTGATCACGGGTGAGCCTGAGTGCGAGCAAATCTATGCGCGATCGGGTCTGAGTGTCAGTAAGTCTTAGTGTGGGCGAGTCTGAGTTTGAATGTGACGAATACAAATGAGTATGGCTGAGCCTGGGTACGAGGTAGTCTGAGCACGAGTGAGTCTGATAGCTGGTGGGTCTGAGTTTGAGTGGGTCTGAGTGTGAATTGGGCTGGGCGCGAGTGAGTTTAAGTTCCAGCGAGTGGAACTATGAGCGAGCACGCACGCGTGAGCCTGAGTATGGTCGAGTATGGGTAGGAGCGAGTCTGAATGTGATGGGTGAACCTGAATGAGGAAAGGGTGCTGGTGAGGCAGACCAAGAGGGTGCGTCCGGGTGGGGAGGAGGGGAAAGAGGTGCTTGAGTGAGTGAATGGGTAAGTGGGGACCACATAAATCAAAAGAGAAGTATGGGGGGAGGGCAGAGACAAGCAAACCGCCTCACCCCTGGCGGCTCCGTCTTGGGGTTATCAAGTGCCACGCCTGCTATATTGCGGAAGTAATTTGACACCAAAAGAAAAGTTTAAGGAAGGGGAGGGGGGGGCAGCAATAGGCAAATCGCTTGATACATCCCTACAAACTGGACGCCGACCCTGGATTGTCTGGCGGCTCCCCATTGGGGTGCCCAAGTACCGCGGGTGCTTTATCCTCTTGCACAGGGTGTCTAGAACTCCGACTACTTTATTCCGCGTCGCACACCCCGCCCCTCCCCGCGTCTCCAGCGCCAGAGTGGGACCCCCCCGCGCGGTGGCTCTCTGCCCCGAGCTACCCCGCCCCAGCGCCCCAGCGGGAGCCCCGCCCACCGCCCCCTCGTCCACGAAAGTATTCCTCGTCGCACAACCCCCCCCGTCCCGCGTCCCCAGCGCCAGAGTGGGACCCCCGCGCCGTGGCTCTCTGCCCCGAGCCTCCCCGCGTCCCCAGCGCCCCAGCGGGGGCCCCGCCCACTGCCCCCTCCGCCACGAACGCTTTATTCCGCGTCGCACACACCCCCTCCCCCCGCGTCCCCATCGCCAGAGTGGGACCCCCGCGCCGTGGCTCTCTGCCCCGAGCCCCCCCGCGTCCCCAGCGCCCCAGCGGGAGCCCCGCCCACTGCCCCCTCCGCCACGAGCGTTTTATTCCGCGTTGCGACGCACACCACCTCCCCCACCTCCCTCCCCGCGTCCCCAGCGCCACAGTGGGGGCTCCGCCCCGTGCCCCCTCCGCACCGACAATTTTATTCCGCGTCGCGACGCACACCACCTCCCCCTCCCCGTCCCCAGCGCCCCAGTTGGACCCCCGCCCCTGGATGGAAGTAGCGCTGATCCAATCACTTGGCGATGACAGGATGATCAAATATCAACGTTGATACTTATGCTATTTTCCCATGCGGCACGGCTGGAATGTATACGTTTGAACGCCGTCTGCTGCTAGCGACTCCGTGCAATGCAGCCGCATTGGGCTTTGACCCGAATGGCAACGGACAGTCGAAGGTCGACAGTGCAAGCAAGACCAAGAACACACTAACTTTACAGCGCCATCAACGGGACATTGCAACCGCAACGCTTGGGGACCATTGTAACCCCCGTGATGGCAGAGCTGAAACGGACACCCGGGGGACCGACTAACAGCTGCTTTCAAATATCGTCGATGTCAGAAGTAGGCATGTGGGAACGATAACGAGAGCAACTCTGAGGCTAGAGTTCTCTCCCGGCATGCCTCGGCCCCACGCCCCGCAAAAACTAAACCCAACCCTCAGTCAGCATGGGGAGGAAGACAGACGCTCATGACAGCAAGGATCATGGACCCACGAGTTCGGCAAGCCTGCCCAATGTGATCGCCGCGAAAACCACTTTGGGATTCGACTGGGTCCTGCCAGCATGCACCTCTCCAAAGCGAAGGTATACATCCGCCAACGCGTCCACAAGTTGTTTTGCAGGCCAGGCCTCAGGCTTCCGTTGGGAGAGAAGCCATAGATGCGCACACACGCATGCTCCCATACTCGATTCCCTGCCGCCCACGGCGGCCAGCAGTGCTCCCAAGCAAATCTGCAGCGGCAGCTCGAACATGTCTAGTTGCATCTGCTCGTTCAGCAGCAGGTGTGAACACGTAGACGCGACGACGTCCAAACTACACCACATGATTTCCTTGAGGTCTGGGTCAAGAGGGGCCCCAAGCCCCAAGCCCCGCCCAATGCCCCCCCGCCCCGACCATTTTATTCCGCGTCGCGACGCACACCACCTCCCCCTCCTCCTCTCCGCGCCCCCAGCGCCCCAGTGGGACCTCCGCCCCGTGCCCCCTCCGCTCCGAGCGCTGTATTCCGCGTCGCGACGCACGCCACCTCACCCCCCTCTCCCCACCTGGGACTTGGGCCCCGTTGCTGGGCCCCGAGGGGCGATGTCTTGCCCCCTCGTCCCCCCTCCTCCTCTTCCTCCTCCTCCTCCTCCTCCCCCTTCCTTTTTGTGCAAGAGCCATGGCACACGTGCCACTTGTTTTCTTGCACACGGTGTCTAAAACTCCTACCAGTTTATTTCGGCGTCGCACCGCCACGGCCGCCCCGCCACCCCCGCCCCTCCACCCACACACCCACACCAACCACCACCACTACCAGCGTGACACCGCCCCCCGTCTAGTGCTCCGCCCCGACAATTTCACTTCGGCGTCGTACCCCCGTCCAGTGTTGTCTACCCTGGGGACCCTGCCCCCCTCCGCCCACACCACCATATTTCGGCGGCGCACCGCCCCCACCGTCCCGCCCCCTAGACCCTTCCCCCCTCCCCGGCCGCACAGTGCATCCCGCCCCCCTCCGCCCCGACCACTTTATTTCGGCGTCGCACCGCCCCCAACATCCTGCCTCCCCGACCC